AGCAACAAAGTGACCCATGTGGCGTTAGTGGTGTAGGTAGCAGTGGTGTCAATGCAGCAGAGACATTGAGGTGGGGGATCTGACCATGGGCTCCCTCTGTGTAAGGGCAACAAGCACCATACTGAGCCCGTGGACCAGGATCAATGCAAAGGCAACTGAGAGCAAGAGGCCACCTCTCCGTTGTAATCCACCAGGCAAGGGGGTGAGGGCAAGAAGGAGGATCCATCCCTCTTAATAACAAGCATTATAGCTATTTTGAGGATTGGAAGGTGACAAAGCAATCATAGTAGCGATGGGACGCTGCTAGCTGATGTTGGTGATGCTGTGACACTTCATCCAAATCTGAGAATTTCATTGTGCAATACCACCCTCAGCCATGGGATCAAACCAGAAGAAAAAGTTCAGATGAAGAACCTCACAGCCCGAGCTGAAAAACAGAGATATCACAGGGCTGGTAAGACTAAGGATTAATTCCTATTTTTATTCTTTTTCACTTGTGTCTTGCATTTGAACAAGAGTTGAAGGCTTTGTATGATGAAGACTTCAGCATACAGTGAATTTCTGAGCAGAGTTATTACCTCTGGCGCCTGGAGCAAAAGTGCCCCTTGGGATGTTTGACAGGATATAGTGTCTGACTTGATGATGGAAACAAAAGAAGTCCTCTCCATGGCAGATTTAGTCTCTTGAACTTACTGATAATGCACTCTCCTCCAATGAATCAAAATTCCACTTCACCCACTAAGATGTCTGTTCTGTACACTGCTGACATACATGGAAATGCAAACCTCCCATAAAAGTAAAAGAAAATGTAAATTATGTTCTGATAAATAAAGAATTACTTCAGAAGAGGGGGAAGAGCCTGAGTTTACATTTAAAATGAACTTTCTGAAACACGGTTACAGAGAGAGAGAGATGTAAAGAGGTGCCCATGCAGGGCACATGCAGATCACCTGGGTAGTTCTGAACTGAGGCTTTGATATGCAGGTTAGTTTGCACTTTGGTAAAACATCCTTGCCTTTTCCCTTCCAGCCCAACAAACTCACCATAGAGAACTCGCTTTCAGTTCAAGGTTACCCTGAAAAGATCTCCCCCTCCCATGCCTCTTGGCAATACGTATTAAAATGTCATTCTGACCTTCAGGAAAAAAATTTTCTCTGCCTGAGCATAGGGTAGGTGTGATCCAGCTGGCTGAGTGGAGGCTTCTGTATCAGAGTATCAGAGCTAGGGGAGAGGAACAGGCACCTACAGGATATGACTTATCTGCTGCTGATGTAGACATTTAAATTAGGGTGGATTAATTACCCCTAAAAGCACATGTTTGTCTCCTTTGATTGTAGTGGGAGGCCAGGGCAATATACTGAGGTGGGGGGTATCTGCAGGGCAGCAAACATCAGAACAGCTGAGTCCTGACTTTGCAGTTAGAGAGAGAAACTCTCTTCTGGGGTGTGGGAAATCCTACACAGGGTGAAAGCACTCTTGCTTTTACTCCATCCATATAGGCGTGAATTTGCTCTTGACTTTTGCCAGTTGGCTGACACAAAGAAGAGTTGAAATGAAGCTGGACCTTTTGCATCTTTTCCAGTTTAGGCTGGTGAGCGTGGGAGGGAGCAGGAGAAGGAGGGAAGGGATGGGGCATTTACAGAACAATAACTCATGTGTGATAAGGATAGAGGGGAAGAAAACAGAAATCCTGGTCCGTGACCAGCTCCCTGAAGGCAGAGCACTTGAAGTCCCATAGCCTGGAGTTCCCAAAGCAGCTGAATCCAATGTCCACCCAGCAATGAAACCACGGACATGGGCTCCTGATTCTAACCTGATCCCAGTCAGAGGGAGACCCAGTCCACATGTATTCTTAGCCACATAAATTCACATATCTGATCTAACGTAGCCACCGTGGCTCCCTGGAGAAAGCCTGTTGGGGACTATTAGCTCATCTGTTTTAGGATGGGATCACTGTTCTTCTGTGACTGCCTACACCTCTCCTGGCTGCTTGTTCACCCCATTTACTAAGGATAAATTGCTCTAAATGAAACTCGGCAAAATACGGAAAGAACTTGGAATACATCTAGCTGTTCAATGCACATTGAGGGCAAATTTAACCCATCAACCCATAACACAGCAATACTTGCTTGGCAGGGAAAGCCTCTGCTCCTTTCTCTCATCCCAGCCCTTGCAGGGAGTTCGGGAGGTGACAGGGGCTCCCCAGTGCTCAGTCAGGGGTCTCTGGAACTGGAAGACCAGACAAACAGCACAGACTGAAGGAAACCAGACTGTGTTAATTTATCCTGGGGTCTCAGCTCTCCCTAAATCGGTAGTCTGGATAGTCAGCCACAGTCTGTCTGCAAGTTCATATATATCAAACGCGAATGAAGTGTTGACAGAAGAGCCAAGATTCATGCACTAATTCAAGAAGCAGCCTGGGTGAAAGGATGTCAAATTAAAGTGCCTCCTTCCTCTACCTCCCCGTTTCACCCAGCTCCCCCATTCCAGCAGCAAAATGGAGCACAGCCAACCTCCCATAACACAGGACAGTGTGTGCAGGAGCTGGAGCAATGTGTGGACCCAGGCTGCAGGACAGGCACAGCCAAAGTGTAAAACCCCCATCCCTCCTGTGCACTTGCTCTGTGTGGGTGAAGTGCTTGTGTGCATGACAGATGAGAGCTGCAAAGCAGGCAGGTCAGTGCTGTGGCGAGGGTCAGTGCTGTTTTGATGGCTGCGAGATGCTCTAATTATAGTGTTGGGAAGGCTGGGAGCTGCCAGATTCGATACGGGAATAATGTGGCAAAGGAGCTGCAGAGTAAAGACACTAGTTGTTTTGTTCTTGGTTGCTTTACTCAGGGACAAAGCCTCTGAGGAAGGAAAAGCAACTGTGAGGTTATAATTGAGTCCCAGGAATTCTGAATACATATATAATTAGACACAGAAAAAAATCAAGGCAGCCTTGTGTTTATTGCACTGTCTCTGTCTCCTGTGCTTTTGGCACTGTGGTTTTTCAGCTGAGCTTCAGCCAGTTGACTGAGCTGTTAAATATCCTTTACCAGGATGAACAGCTGAGGAAGCCCTTCAGCTCACTCAAGCACAGTGCCTTTGGTGGGTGTTGCTCTTCGAGAGTGTTCAGGCAAGTACATGGTTTTATATATATTGCGATATTCCTCTCTGCTACCTGCTCCATACTCTGGTCTGCCTCGCTGCAAAACTTTTCAGGGTTGCTCTTTGGTGTTACAGGATTTATAGCATAATTTCCCACAGTCTTTATGCTCTGATTATTCTTGGCATGCTCTCCCTGGATAGTTGTGAGCTTCACAGCCTGCAGAAGCAGTTAGTTGAAGCATCTCAGAGCAGTTACCTGCCCCTGGTACAGGGGGATTTTGTAGGAGGTGGGATGAGCAATCAATTGACCCCAGCACTCAGCTCTGGTGCTGGCTTGCTGAGTGGCCTTGGGAAGTCACTTTGCAAGCTGGTGCCTCAGTTTCCCCAGATGGGAAAGGCAGCACAGAGACAGTTGGGTAAAATACTCTTGGAGACTTTGGTGAACACAGCAATCAGAAATGGGAAATGGGTTCCTCAATATCACTAATGATACACTTCCCAGGACTGCTGCCCACTCCTCGCCTGCACCAGTTTTCCCCTTGTCTTACTGCTCTGGAGTCTCCCTGAAGGCTTTAGAGATCCCCGTGCCCCCATGATACATCTCCAACTCTCATGTGCTTCGGCAACCTCTCCTCCAACTATCTTTTTTCAGAAGCTCAGTGGAGCATATTACCTTCATTTTCTTTCTTTTTGTCCCAAGAGATCCCTCCCCTTAATTACTGGCTGCTGGTTTCGGTTGAGGCAGCCTGGCACGCTCTTTCCCCCCCTCGCTGGTGCCCACCACAGCACTCAGGCACTGCCAGCCCCTCCCGGGCAGCTCTAAGCCCAGACGGTACCAGAGGGATGGATAGACCCTCAGAGCATCAAGTGTCCGATCAATCAGGGATTTTCCCCAGCTATTCCCACCTAGGAGAGAGGGTGTTTATTCCTCATTTTTTCTGTAGTTCCACAAACATTTGCACCATGCACAGTGATGATTTCTTTTCTTTTTTTTTTTTTTTTTTTAAATATGAGCAACAGGAAAGCTCTGGGAACCAGTATCTGGTGTAATGCAGATCTGTATCTGGTGTAACGGTATAAAGAGCACTGAAGAAGCGTTAAGGATCCATTTTGATCTATTTAATATTATTCCTTCAGCTGAGCTCAATCACCTGAAATCAGAGACACTGTAAGCAATACACTGTAAATACAGCTAAAATCAAATACACTGATATCCTTTATTTTTATCCAAGGCTGGGTTTAGTCAAATCCAGGCCAAATTTATCCTAGATGTAACTACAGTAACAGCAGCAAACATTGCACCAGAGAGGAACTGAGTCCATTTTGTCTTCCTTACTGACAAACGATTTATGGAAACTGCAAAAATGCTGATGCAATCACAAGTACAAGAGAGGTGCAAATGCACAGCAATCCCCCTCTCAGTGGTCACCATGGCTATTGCGCTTTGTTCCACTCTATTTACAAATTATCAAACATATTGACCACAGCTTCATGTTTTCAAATCAAGAAGATAAAGAATCTATTTTTATTACTTTATTAACCTTTTTTATTTAACCTCGTAATAAAACTACTCAACTGTATGGTGAAATCTCAATTAAAATTTGCCTTAGCTCCAGGAGCCACACAGGCAAATGCTCCAGTAGTTATCTAAGTTGGTTTCCTGGTAAAAGCTTTGTCTGTTATCAGATTCTGTTATGCAGTACATAGATCCCTGCTTTACAGCCAGAATCATTTCAGGAGGTAGTTTCAAAGCTTTCGGGCTCTCCCAATGATTGCTTCACTTTTCTTTCACAGCAATTACAGTCCCTTCATTTAATTTCAATGGAAACTTTAGTGTTTTAGACCTTGCCCATGTAGCTGAATGCTCGCTCATCTCTGGATCTTATTTCCAGTCCTCAGGAGGACTGGTTTTGATGACCTAGTCTGATTACAGCATCCTTGACAGCTTTAAAGGAATTTGCTCCGGGGAAGGAGACAGCTGCTCCTCTGATGAAGGATTTTTCTGAGCAGGCCTCCCAAGCTAGACATGTCAGTATGAGATGCTGCCTACGTTTTTCATCGTGACCAACAGGTACGTCTAGAAAAGGTTTTGTGTTCTTGCCTGCATAGGCCAGTGTGGAGAGAGCCTCTGTCATAAAACTGCTTAACCTGCTTCTGTCAAAATACTGTGGCTTCTTGGCTTCTTTTCCCTTATATTGTATATTCAGTCCCTCTGGAAACTGTGAGCCAAATCTTTATTCTGGTGTAAACAGGCATTGCTCCTTCAGTTTATACAGACTCAGGGCAAGAACAGTCTCTTTACCAGTACCTGTAGCTCTTATACAGCCCTAGTCTTAGACAAGACTTATGAAAATGAGTATATTATTTATGATCAATAATAACCATTATTAGGAGCTGCAATAAAATCTCTTAGCAGACTTTTTGGAATTGAATCAGTAGAAAAGCAATATAACAACCTGTTCCCCTAAAGCCTGTTTTGCAACTAATGTTGAAAACAAGGTAGACAACACTTCATATCCCAAACAACCCACTTTACCTCCAGAAAGGAGGTCTGACCTGCGTAACACTGTGTGGATCAGGAAAGCTCTATGTTTCCTTCCTATTGCCATTCCCAAACCCAGGAATTAACCTCTATTTTGCTCATATAAAGCACCTAGATTCAACAGGTCATTATACAGACAGGAATGTTTTGCGGTAAAAGGTTTTGACAAGTATCTGAATGTACAACGTTCTATATATGCATCCTGGAGCAACCACTTTACTTTTTGGGGAGCAAATAAAGATTTCAAATAGGAGGGGTTTGGTTGCACATGCCTAGGACCAGAGCTTATTACTCCATGGGCTGTTGGGCAGAGCCAAGATTTGGTGAATTTCAGCCCCCCAAAATGTCCAGCCTTGATTTTGTAAAAGAAGCTCCTGTGTAAGCAGACGGCTCGAAGGACTGAGAGCTGCTTGGTACACTGGAGCACTTAACTTCTCCTCTCTGGAGCCAGCCCATTTCCACCACTATACGCTTCCCCAAAATCCAGCTCTGAACTGACAAGTAAAGGTAACAGCCACCAGTGTCACCTGCTCCAAATTCTCCAAATTCCCTTTCTTTTTCCTCCTTTATACTGCTTGTTTATATTGCACAGCACCAGGAAAAAAAAAAAAAAAAAAAAAAAAAAAAAGGAAGCAATGCTATTTTGCTGTCTTACAGGTGTTTGATTTCTATTTGGTAAACATAATGGAGCTGAAGGTGTCCTTTCTGAAATAGCAATGGGGAGCACATAACAGACAGTGTATCATGGCCATGCAAACCCTCCAGCCTTGATTAACCTGGCACTTACTCGGTGTCCTTCTCCAACACTGATGCTGGTTCACACCAGATCCTCCTGAAAGACATGACAGGGTGGTAGCTCCAGAAGCCACCTTCCTATGGGTTAGTTTGAGGAAATCCTCTCCTCTTCTAGTTTCAGATGCACTTTTTGTATATGCTTTAGCTGAAGGACACTTTTTGCATCCAAGGAAAATTTGCAGGCTTCAAGAAAGCATGTCTTTCTTGATATACCCCCCTATCTGAAATGGGAGAGGCACCCAACACCTGCATCACTCATCACTCTCTGGTAACAGGTTGCAGCCAGGTCTGCAGCATTTGGTGCCACCATGACAAATGCCAGGTGAAGACACCAGCACAGCCCAAAGGAAGCCAAGCTGGGGGAGCAGGTAAGGAGTAGGCTGGCTACTGGCCTTAGGAATGGGAACCAGGAATCATTGTGCAGAGATGGGTGGATGTGGTGAATTTCCTGTAAAGAGAAGGAAGTGTGAAGCAGATAGATGCTTTCTTCACTTGTGTCCTGCAAGCAGAATATGATATTCAGAAGATTACACTGTGTGTCAGAGCATCAGGAGTGCCAAAATGATGTAAATTCACCAGTTGTAATAAGCTAGTGATAGTAGATAAGGCAGTGGGAATGTGACAGGTGAAATTACATGGCCTTTTGGCAGAAGCCAGTAGAGCTATAGCTCAAGAGAGCAGGGTGCCAACCTTACAGTCAGATTGTTTTGGAATTAACAGTACTTTGCCCCAGTCTTTGTGTTTTGTATTACTTCATTTAACCAAGAGCAAATGCCATTACACATTTACTGACAAATTTCTATTCACTGTAATATTCTTTCAGGGGTGTGAATAGAAAGGCAGCTTGACCCAAAGTGCCCTAACAGAGATAAGTTTTGCTCATTTAATAGAGATCTATCAGTCCCATAGATGTAAGTAGCAGAGGTGAAATCCTGCCCAGGTTCCACATGCAGAATTCTTAATTGGAATCAGTGGCATCCCTGATTGTGGAATATCCCTGGGGAATAGCCAGGTGTCCTTTTACTTTATTTTAGAAATGTTGCATTAAAAAAAAAAAAAAAAAACCCAAAAAAACAAAAAAACAACAAAAAAAAAGACATGTAAAGAAAATATGTCAGTCAAACAGAAGGCAACTTTTCTATAAAGAGGTCTTGTAGTATCTCTTGTTAATAACTTTTTGATTTAGACTGTCAATATATCCATCAGAGAAGCCAACACTATTTCCCAGCTCTGGCACTATCCATGAAGCAAGTAACGTAACTTGCCAAAACCAGGAGTGTCAAAAAAAGGTATTTCAGTTCTACAGCCTCAGAGGAGTCACAGAAGCAGGAGAGGTCTTCTTCTGGGAAGGAGGAGTGGTGGCGTCACCTTTCCATCTTCTTCATTTTAGAGCTGGAAAGAGCCTTTGGCCCAGTAGGGTACAAAAGGGATCTAATCTTTTCCAGCTCTCCAATACACAGGGAGAAATGCTAACACTAGGTAGAGAGCATAAGAGCACTCCAGTCTCAGTACTTCTCCCAGAAACTCTTGCTAGATGAGGTGTAATGAATGAAAGAGAGAATGCAAGGCACTGAATCAGCTCTCTGTACCCAGAAGCTTTGCCTCTGTCAGGGAACAACCACGTAGTCAGAATCATATGATAGACTAAGAGCTCAGTTTCAATTCTTCTCCCTTCAGACACTATTAATTCTCCATCTCCATAGCTGCCCTGTGAAGCTTATTCCTTGACTTTGCATTTGTCTAGCTTTAAAGGAAAAAGGCAATGTAATTCTCATTGTTTCATTGAGGAGACTGATTGAAAGGCTCATACATTTGAGATGATGAATAATATGCTGATGAAAATGCTCCACATCAGAAAAAGCCCATTTGTGAGAGCAGAGATGATTCTGACCAACATACTAATTTAAGCTGAGAGGTTTCCTGGTCTTGGACCAAATTTCTGATAAGAATGAGGAGAAAGAAGTGGGGGGTGAGGGGGGGGGGGGGAGGGCAGAGGTAAGACAGAGGGCTGTGACTGTTACAGCTAGTAACAAGCTGCCTCCTAGGGGCATCACATTTTAAAGATCTGATCCAAAACTGCCAGCTATCAGAGCTGAACCCCGGTTCCACTCTCTTCAGTAAAAGCCCATCCTGCTCTCAGCTACCCCATTGTAAAACAAAAATTGTCTCAGTGTGAGCAGGACGATCCGACACCCCTGCAGGCATGCCAAAGGATGCTCTGCTTTGTAACACAAACACAAATCTTCAGCTTGCCTGTGAAAAACATAACTGGCTTTCAACCTGACTTATCTGTATATCCTTATGTCCACAAGCATTCTTTGATGTGCTGCCTGAATTTTACATTACTTAGTTTCCTCATTTCAGCTTAAATTGAGATGAAATTGAATACAGGCTCCAAAAGCACTTGGACAGTTTTAAAAACCGTTACCAATTATTCTTTGTTAAACCTACTTGTTTTAGTCTGAAAACACCAGCCTCCAGGGCTTGGAGAGGTGGAGAAGAGAGACTTACATACTAATTACAAGAAATTAAATCCAGAACAAATATCGGCATTAGTAGATTTAACATTAATGTAAAGTGGCTGCCAATGACAGAGGGATTTGCCGCTTGCTTTTTGTATTCTTCGTCATCCAATATTACCATCCAAACTCTTTCCAATTCATGCATATTTTACTCATTTGGGCTTTTCTACACCTCAATCTGCTCTTTTCTCCATTTTTCTGTTCTTCTTTCATGTCATTAATCTAATCTAATCCCCTTTCAAGGTGACACTGCAAATGGAGCTCAAGAGCATTTACATCAGTGCCTTCAAATCATCTTATGTAGTGATGCCTGCATCTAGGTGCTTTACAATTCCCTTGGCTTCTTACTTTCCCACTGCTGTCAGTCCCACTTGCTGCCCGTCTCAGGACCAGTTTGGCATTAATAGATACCAAGTTTCTAAAATCCATTAAGGACAGACAGTGGCTCACAGAAGTCAACAGGAGCCTTTTGATATCTGGGATTTAGGCAAGACCTCTAATCGCCTTTTTAGGCTGTACCCTGCAGTCATCCTAGCCTGAATTCTCCTCGGGCCAAAACTCACCCGGGAAAATGGGGAATTGCTATAGAAAGCCCGAATCAACACAACAGAGAGCACAAAGTGATTACTGCTAAAACAGAACTCCTGAATATAATTCTGCTTTTGCTGTCTCTAAGGGGTTTTCTTTTCACATCTTTTTTGCCCCCATTTCTGTTTTATGCCCATTCAGCCATCCTCCTAATGGCAGTGGGTTCATCCTTCTCATTCATCTCACGGCTGGTGACAGCCCTGCCATCAACACCAGCCCAGATTCTTTAATCAGAGGTTCTAGTTCCACTCCTTTTTGTTCCTAAAATATGATGAATGTGTGATAAAAGCTGACTTGGAATAACCTCACTCACTCCAGCCCTGTCCATGTCCTACAGCCTACATCAACAGGATTGGCTGATGCGGGATCAGTGAGCCAACAGCAAATATTAACATTTGGTTACTTGGTAACTCTTATTTGATCAATACATGTTTTACAAGGCAGGATGAACAGAATGAATTAGAAAACCTCAGGTGGAATAAACCTAATGGCTTATGGGACATCTCCAAAATAAAAATGCATGTTGAATCACAAATAATAGCTTGGCTGTAATCTCAGGAGTCTAATTATGAAATGGATGTGGAATCATTCTGTAATTAATTAGAAAATTCATTTCAGCAGTCAGAAATTTTCTCTGTGTTTACTATATATCATCACAAGTACTTTGTGGTTATTTGTAACATCTACCTGGAAAGACGCATGAATAAGAGAGGCAATTTTAAGAAATGGAGACGGATCCATGCCTTTTATAAGTCAATGGGTTCATGCCAGGGATGAATTGAGACCAGGTTCCTCAACAGAGTTAAATCATTTCTAGCCATTTCCAATAGAGCAGAAATCAATGTGCTCTACGGCAGGGATGTTCCCATCATAATGTAAAACCCTACTACACATTCTGCTCAGTGTATGTGTCTTTGCCTTAGAAAAGAACTCAGCTCAAAACCAGTAAAAACCCCTGCACGCTGTGGTTTTGAAACTGGTGTCACAGCCCCGGGAAGACCATCATCACTCAGAAGCACCTGCTACATCCACAAATAAATCAAGATCTCTGCCTTCAGAAACAAATTCTGTTGTGCTGGATCAGATGATATTACCATGTGATATTACCATGCCTAACCTAATTTTTGCAAAGAGTATCAATCCAGGCCTGCAATTCCTGGATGAATGGCCTCGGGTCTGCCTGCCCTTCATCAAAGGGAAGTTTATAGATCTGTGTGATCATGAAAACTTCCAGTGCAGGGTAGTAATATCTAAAGGGTGAAGAGAAGGTCTCACTGGGAGGATAACATTTGTGGGTCCTTCATGAAGCACCCCAGGGACGGACGATGTTGCACTTTGTACTGACCACACTGCCCTTCCTTGGGGACAAACGCACCTGGGTACACAGATCTCTGGGCATCGCAGGAATTAACCAATATACAGAAAGGAAAACTGATTGCTTTCAGCTTAGCTGGCTACGCACACCCAGTGTTATCAGACTGTCTTCCCATTCATTACTCTGTCTCCATCATGCTTTGTTATTGATATATTTTTCCCCAACTTCACAAAAATGACCCATTTTGGAGTGACCATCAGACAAGACTTTAACTGTGACTCTTCTGGTCGTCAGATACACATGGAAACAAACAGTCCAAAGGGCTGATTTTTGTCTGGATTTATACAGTGCTTTCCTCCAGGGAAGGTCTCAGGAGCAGAAATGGTGCCGTATGACACCTCATGGGTGTCCCACATCTTTCAGCAGTAAATCTGTTTCTCCAGAGGCAGAAAAAGGAAGAAGGCACACAGCTAATTATATGCCAAGGGGCAATTTGCCTTTTTATTTCCTGATGTACTCCCTGACTGGTGGAAAATCACTCTTGGCAAACACAAAACTTACCTTGCTGCCAAAAGGTGCTTCTCTAAATTATTAATCAAGAGCACACAGAACCACGAAAGGTGGAATATTGAACAAAGGCTCAACTGACACTCTGGAAGTTGAAGAAGATATGGAAGACTCCCTTCTAATTTATTTATTCCTTTTCTGTTCTGTTATCCTGATATGCTGCTTCCAGTTACCACTGCACCCCGCACTGTATGGTATTACGTGATTTTGTTTTCAGATTGTTGGAGATAAAGTTGCTTCATTATTAATATATATGCACTGTGCATATCCATAAATATTGAATATATACGTGTGTGTAAACCTACTGGAAGTGTTAATAGTTAAGACAAACTAAGTCCATTATCGCAATGAGTGACTACTTCTATGACCCTATTTGCAATAAATCCAGATTCAATGATATGAGGAAATTGCTAGGTTTCAAAATAATTGAACCAGGCCAGACGAATCCCCACAAAGGCATCATTTACAAAGTACTTTGCTTGTCTAGAATATTTATTCCCACAGAAGGAAATGGAAAAAGAGTTCATATGGTTACACAGCTATCTTCTGAGTAAAATTGTTTTATCATGTTATGTTTATTTCCTAGACATCTTCCAGTGGGGTATTGCAGAAAAATACTGGCTGTGCAGCTAGTTCCTTTGTGTGGACTGTTCATATTTATTCACCGAGAAGTCAATCATGTTTTGTTCAGGCTTGTTTTGTTTTTCTGTTAAGGAATCACTTAAGCAACCCTTTTCTTGTAAAAACTTATTTGCATATACAATGTGCACCATTCAAAGTCGACACTCCACAGATAGTTGAGATGTGTTTGCTTTCCCTCCTATGTACTGTGGGAAGTAATGGAGTTCTTCCTGAAAACTGGCATTGCTCATTAAGACTGCAGTATATCATTTGCGTTTAAGGACTCCATCAGTAATGACAGATATTTTTATTTTGTCTTGTATTGAAAGCCTGCATAGATTTTTACTATTAAATGTTCACAGCAAAATGCTTCCAAGCAATCTACAGACAAAGAATTACTCTCAGCAATTATCCACTGAATAAATCTGAATAATGAATACGTTCACAAAAGTCACTATCTATTTGTGAACAATTAGCTGAAAGAAATAGAGGTGACACTCATCAGCTAAATAATTCATTTATGAATTCTTTGTCCGGCTTTGCTTCTGACATATGTTGCATGAAATGAGATCAAAGCTTGATGAAAAATTACTTTTAAAAGAAGGGCAATGTTAAAGGAAATTATTCCAGCTTCCAAAGAAGAAATTATACCACTATCGTAACTATTACTTATTACCAGTGATTTCAGAGGCTAGTGAAGTTATTTTCCTTGAATCTTTCACTTCATGCATTAAACTGTGTTTTATTCCTAATTTATATCCAATTTTAGGTTGTTAAGCTGCAGTCAAAAGCACTTAGTAAGAATGGATCTGTCCCTGTTATGAGATTTGAAGTCCTGACATCTTCATCCACTGGAACCTGAGTGCCCAGGTAACTACTAATTATTTAAGCATTTACAACCATTACCATCAATAAAATTAACATGTGGGATAAAAGTGAGAATGACACTATGAAATTATCATTCCTAGCATTTGGATAGCAATCTTTCATGAAAACTTTTATAAGCTGCCAAATGATTTTTCAAGCAAATGAAAAGAAAATTTGTTTATATTTAAGGGGAATCTAGAACTGAAAAGAAATTATTTCTGGAATCAAAAATGATAAATGCTGTCCATTTCTTGAAAACCACAAACCCTCCTCAGCTTTTCTGCAGGGTTTTTAAAAAGAAAATATCAAAAAGATTTCGACCAATTGTTTAGAAAATTGTGAGACCTTTCTTTCAATAAAACTAGATTCAGTGAAAAAGACAGGAACAAAGATTTTCATTCAGGTCACTGCTGTTCTCTGCAGGAATAAGAAGTTACACAAGACCTTCTTATGTGCCTTTCTGGATGACACTAATAAAAATAAATGAGACAATTCACATGGAGAAAATCAAAGCTAGATAAAGACTAGAGTTTGACTTCCCTCTTCCAACCTCCGTCAGTTTTGCTGGCTGAAGTAGGCAGGTAAATTCCTTCTTACATTAATTAGTAGCAAGATGATTATCACAGTAGGTGGAAGGAGGAGCCAGAGGAGAAGCTAGGAACCATTATTTGGAAGGCTTTGTTACCTTTCTGTCTCGAATCTACTATGAGAAAAATTTTGAAGAATTGCCTTTCGCCCCCCCCCCCCAAAAAAAAAAAAAAAAAAAGTTCAGCTTGATATCCCAAAATAACTGCTGTGAAACTCTTGCAGGACACACCAAAGAGGGGATTTTGAGAGCATTTCACAAGCCCTGCAGCTGTGAGCCGGTTGCAGCATGAGGAAAAGCCCTTCGTCACCCCAATGTACAGGAAAGAGAAGGTAAGGTGACTCTCTCCAGATGGCTTTTAGATATGGTGCATCCAGTGAAGAGCCCCAGGCCAGCAAAATCTGTTCTTCTCCATGTCGACGCAGCTTTCACTGCTGGAAAGGGAAGGGCTTGAGGACAGCAGCCCCTGGCAGTGCTGCAGAGCCGTGCAGAGCTGAGCTGCGGGAGGGCAGTAAGGCGCAAGGGGCTGCTGACCCCACATCAGCCCCTGCTTCTGCTGGCCCGCTTTTCCCTGAGGGAGGATCCCAACCCTTCCCATCTTCTCACCCACTCCACAAATCTCCGAAAAGAAGATCAAAACAGTGAAGTCCACAGAGCTGCTGTGCTCTGCTCTCTGGCTCCTAGTGCCAATGTAAGCATCTTGCAACCCTCACTCAAATGGGACGGTGCAAAACAAGTGCCAGTCTGATCATGCCATGAGAGAATCCATCCAACCACCTGAAAAATAACTCAAAACTGGAGTACTTTAGACATGTCACAGCAAATAAATAGCTCCAGGAAAAGAACAACAAAAAAAGCTCAAGCTTGTGCTTGTAGAGACAATAAACCATCATATTTCAGCAGTCATGGCAGGTATTTCTGACTGGAAATTATATATTTGATGGTGACCAGCCTTCAGCATTTGACAAGAGGCTGTTAAAACCTCTTGAACAATAAATCACCTCTCTTCCTATCAATAATCTTATTATAATATCTGCAGAAACGTCTAATATTAAAATCCCATTTTATTACTATAATAATGGATCTAATTTGTAAAACATATAAAGTGAGGCCATAACTGTACTGGAGGGAGATATATGTGATTCCACTACATCTATATCATTTCCTGATGGCTTTACCCACATATTTTGAATGGGAGAAGGATTAAAAGCAATGCCACTTGCAAGACTTTTGAGATTAGGAATGGCTTCTGTAAAGGAGATCAACATGATCACAGAAATGCAGCAATAATTATAAAAAGAACTGCCTTGCCTTCGTGTTTACGCATATAAATACATAGGTGTTTATCTGTGATTTGCTCCATTTGGGCCCTTTCCTGTTGCCAGGAAAGCCCCACTTTCCAGCTGCACAATCAGTATTATCACTATGTGCTATTTTTGGCTACTGAGTACATTTCAAGTAACGTCATCCTTCCCAAGCCAACACTGGTATGAAGGGCGGAAACTCTTCTTTCCACTCCTCTGTCATTTGCTGCAGCTCCCATCTGCTCGGTGGCACTGCCTCCTCAGTCCTCACTGCAGAGGAATCTCCAGACGCTTTCCCCTGGTCCTTTTCATTTTCTTGAGCAAGTGGCTTCCCAACCGAAGCTTCGTGTGGGAGGCTTCATGTTGGCATCCAGAGTACATGTCCCAAATATGTCCAGCCCCACCTTCTGATCCTAGTGCAGAGGAGCTGCCGGTAAGTAATCTTTTGGTGGGCGATAGAGTCCTTGTGTCCAATGCCTGGAATTTTTCAAAAGCGGGTTGTTTTTAAGAGCATATAATTTCCCGATTAGCACTTTGGTAGGTTTCCAGCTCTTGTAACAATATGTTAGTACCAGGTTTCTGTCTGAGGGAACAGTACATCATTTCTTCTGACACTGTGTAGCTTTGATTTCCATAAGTTATTAAAGTTTAGTAAATATTGTAAATACCACTTCTTTTTTAAGGTCTTCCTTGGCTCGATGCTACCCAATCAGCCGGTTGTATAATGTTTTTCTCTTCTGGTTTGATGTTGCTATTAAGTGTTTGGAAAATTTCATATGGACAGAGACCGCACTTGGAGTTATAAATCTCTTCAAATATAAGGTTCAGTTTCCTCGGCCGTGCCACAGGAGGAGGCCTCCTAGCTAAAGCTATAACCACTGCTAGTCTGAGCTGGGCAGTGTCTCCCTAAACGTGTTTCATTTTACACAGAATAATTGAATATTCATTATTCCAGGAAGTGTGTGTGTGTGTGTCTATAGCAGAGTGATTAGGGTACTCACCTGGTAGATGTGAGACCCTATTCCCAGTGACTTCTCCAATGAATATTTAAGTATTTCATATTAAGTATTTATTGAAGCAAGGATAGGAGCAGACTTCTCCCACCCCCAAGGGAGCACCCAAATACCAGGCTGTGAAGTCATTCTTTCATTCTTTTTTTTCTTTATCTTGATGAATATTTAATTATTTGAGGCCAAGCAAGACAGCTTCAGTGACAGAGACTGAGATTTCCTGATCCCATGTGTGCACCATAGATCAGACAATGAGGGTGTCCATATAAGAGGTGTGGGTTCACATACCTTTGGATTTATAAACAAGTTGAATCCAGGTTTCCCACACCCTGGACAGGTCTTCCAGCATCCGAGTAGCTGAATAAAAACCACAGAGTTCCAAAATACACTGTCCCTGGTCATGAGACAGAGGTGGTATAGATGCTTGTATGACCCCCAAGATCAGAGAAAGCATCCTTATCAGTGATAAATTAGCCTGAAAACTGGCTTATAAATCCCTCAGAAGAACGTATCAAAGCTGAAGATGTTCCTCACTCCATAGCAGTTCCTGCTGGCTATATTTTGTGCCTTTCTGAGATTATCCAGAGTGTGATGCGTAGGAAAACACTTATCCTCTGTACTCTGGGGTCTGACACGCCCAGACTGTAGTTAATGGGACTTCATCCTGCTTCTGCAGGCCAAGGAGTGGATGTGTGAAATGGTGAGTGTGGGGAAAGCATCCAAAGAGAAAAGGTGTAGGGCAAGGTTAATTGAGTCTAAAAATGAGCAAAAGTAACAGGCATTGAGGAGTAGAAAGATTAAAGCAGGAAGAAAAACATCAAGGAAGGAACGTGAATCACTGAGTAGAGAAATGACACACAAGGGATAAAAAAGGATCAAAGACAGTGACCAGAAGAAGCAAAAAAAACCATCTAAGGAATAGTAACCTTTACCTAGCAGAGGAACAGAGGAAAGGGAGACAAAGGGGTAGAGAAGACGACTTCGATCTTGAAGTAAAAATAAAATGAGGAGAATCTCTGACACCCACTTAGGTCTTTGAAAGTAGAAAATTTGCCATCTGCTCTCCACTTCCAGAGGACAGTGGGTGTCTCTGAACCGAGATGCTTTGGATTCATTTTGGGGAGTTGACTGTGGGAGCATTCCTACACAGAAAAGGACATTGCTATTATTGCAGCTCCGTTTCTTGTCATTTGGCAAAATCCAGAGAAATCTGAGACTGTTATCAAAGGCTGAGTGCGGCTTCCAAACAAAAACCAGAGCAACAATATAATAGTGATATTGAAGTGCAAACAAATTACCTTCTCATATCCATCAGGATAGTGTCCAAACCCAAGACTGATGCATAGTCTCAGTTGTTGAAACAACACTGCATTCAGAATGGAGCTGCTTACCTCAGAAGAACATTTCAAAGGTGCTCCCAATGATATGATTCATATATTTCATATCACATTTTTGTCCATCTACCCCAGGACTGTTGAGCAGCCACCCTCAGTAACTGTTTACTCCAATTTAGAGAAATCCTTTCTGAACACTTTGCTGTCTGTTACTTTAACCAAACTTTTTCCCGAGAAGACAACTTTAGAGTAGTGAAGATCTACGTAAATGAAGATATACCCATAGTGACTTGATATAAATATCACAGTGGTCTGACTATAAATGTCAAAACAGTTGTGTTTCATATCGTGTCATTCGAAGGGCATGGTAACATAGACACAAAAGCTCAAAGCTTCACCCAGATGCATTGCTTCAGTTTCAATGGCCATATGTTTTGTCCTTTGATCAACTCTTTAGACAGATGACAGTAGCTGTCCTCCTTCAATACTGAGGAAAAGGCCACCTGTGGACCAAGCTGTGGGTGAAAAACGGAAAGCAGAGAGAAGGGTTCGATTTCGTGAGCCAGAAGTTACTGAACATGGTACGCTCAAGTTATTAAGGCTTTTGGCATGACCTTTCTAGCTTTTAACATCCACCTTGTCTGTCCTCATCAGCTTCCCTCTCTGATAATGCTATTTTGTGTGTTTGAGCTCAGCATGGAGCAGAGGACAGGCAATTTTTGCTCTGTGCTCTGCAGAATTGCATCTGTTCCATTTTCCTTCCTGCCCTGGGAGGAGACAGGCTCCTGCATCACGTCAGAGCCACCTCAGGGCTGTTCTCGTGGTGAACTTCTGAGTCAGCCCCCACAGGGATCAGTGTAGACCATGAGTTTGGCTGAGCCCCAGGTCTACCCCAAAACAATGCTTCCACTCATAGAAAAGGATCTCAAACCAAATTTAAACACCTTTATGTCATTCTGAATAACTAGGATGTAATGGTGGGGAGGGACCCAGCCCTTTCATGTTTCTGAACAGCGTGCATGCCATGGGATACAATAGTAAAGCTGTGAGCCTAGCTGGCCCACTGGGATTAAAAGCAGACAGGATATAACCATTTCTGCCAATGAGGGAACCCAGGGAATGAAACAGCTAACATAACCTCTGGTCTTTCATTCATGAGCCAAAAGTAACAGTTTGCAGGTGGGTCAACTGAGAGTGACCTTAAGCAGGGGTGTAATATGAGGATCCCATTTGCACTTCTGCACATGCTGTATACAGTTCATAACCAAATAAGAACTGTTGTTTCATTCTGACTGTCACAAACTGACCCAGCTAAAAAGAATTGTATTTACTGGTAGGGAATTAAAATTGTATGGTTTTGATACGTCAGTCAGTGAAAACACAGGTGACAGAGTGGTAAAATTTCTGTGCCAGCCACCTGTTTGGACTACTACTCAGTTTCTGAAAACAAGACTTAGCATCTGTTGATGTGTCTGTAAACAGACCTCTCACTGGTTTTGCAATATGCTGCTTGCAGCATCTCCTAATGCAGGAGGGAAAAGCTGTTTCTTGATAAGGTTGTTGACATGGCCTATGCTTTCCCATCAAAACAGAACTCCTGGGAAGACTCACTGAGTAAGACCAAGATTTTTCAAATCTCATCTGACTGCTCAAGATCAGGATTTTGATGAGAGCTAATAGCTCCTTCAGCTCCCTGCCAGAGTCCATGCCCCACATCAGCACTGGTAATCCTGCAGTCAGTCCAGCCTCGCGGGGACCAGGTTCATCTCCCACTGGCTCTGAGTTCAGCGCAGCCATGCTTGAGCACCAGGGAGCTGCAAGGACAGAGAAGACTCTGAATATTTTCCGTGAAGGCCTGAGAAATGTCCCAACCCATAATTAATATTCTGGGTTGCAAACAGCCTGTGATTTAGATGATGTGCTGTTTGTCCAGACAATGTTATTAACACAGAGGATGGTAAGATGAAGGTTGCTGGCACTGCTGAAATTTTTCCATTCCCTGGACTTTTCAACCTGGATTGCATCTGGGCCCCAGCTGCCAAGCAGAGGCCGTTCCAGGATATTGTTGGATGAAAGTTGCATCTGACAATGGGATTTGCTTCCTTAACTTTCATTCTCCTCTCAGCCTTCTGGTCTATCTCCTTCCCATTTCTAGAAACAGTGTAGAATAGGAAGGTCTTTTTTGCAAGAGCTGACTCCTGACAACTGCGACAATGGCAATCTCTGTCTCTGAATCTGCCCTGTACAACAGTTTTTTCTCACTTTTCTGAAGTGCACTTACATGTGCATGTTTGCATGGAGTGGGTAGATCCTCATCTGACATAAATCTGTACATCTGAAAACAGTGTAAGAGGTGGCCTAGCATCTATAAGGAGACAGGCAATTTCAGAGACACTGCTTAGTGCTTGCTTTCTTATAATCCTGCTGCAAAGAGACCTTTCCAGGAGTGTAAGAATATTTTCATTTTGTTTTCTAGCCATTTCCTGCTATGACTACGTAGTGGGTAAGTTGAAGCTTCACATTATAACTGTGAGCCACCCATGGCACTAACCTGAGTTTGCTTTTCAGCTGCTGGGATGCACTGTGCAAATATATCCTCCTTGTACAAAGCATTTCATACTGTTAGTGGTTTGTTGCTTTTACTTCTCAGCATATGAAGCACAAGGTGTTGATGAGGTCTGGTGCAGTATTTTAAACAAGACATCTAGTAAGACAAATAGTGGAAACAAAAATTAAATCCCTGAAGCTATTTTTAATTTAAATATAATTAATATATTTTATGGCAATAGAATAGGCACAGGTTTTTCACTAAGATATGCAGGGAAAGCACCCCAAGCGAAACAATAGTTCTCCCTGCTGACTTTCATATGTGGGGAAGAGGCAATTCATTTATATGCTGGCAGCAGGGTAGAAATAATAAAAATAATCTGTTTTTTCTTTTTGGTTTGCAAGGATGTTTGAGACTAACCAGCCTCACAGACCCTCAAGCAAATGTGTGTATCTGGGTGTTCTTATGATGGTGATCATTTCTAGAGGCCCTGGCCAACATCCAGCCCCTGCTCTATGCCGTGCAGTAAGGGGAGAAGGGTACATACATACCTGTATGTATTCACACACACAGAGCCATAGTGTTGGGATGCCAAAAGGCCTCCCAAGCAAACGTCGCCCTATCCCCCAGCTGTTGCTATTGCCCAGGAAGAGGGGCTGTAGGCTTGTGCCAATGGCAGCATAAGCTAAGGCTGTTGTTGGGCTAGGAACAAGGTACTATAGGCAGGAAAGAGCCAGGTGGAAAAGGAAAGACCAAATATCCCTCAGGTGACAGTGGAAATGTGTGTCCAAGGCAGGAGCTGAACCAAAATCTCCTGTGTCCCAATACAGTGCTTTACTCAGATGAATTTCCTTCTTAGACTGGGCGCATGGCTAGGGCTGAGTGTTCCGTTCCAACAAGCAATTTAAGTAGCAAATTTAAGCATTCATTTTCTATTTGTAATCTAGAAAAGAGCAAACTTACATTTAAGCACATAATTGTAGTGATGTGCTGCAGCTGTCATGATCATAGCTCATCACTATTTTGTGGATGGGATTATTCTTTCACATTATTTCTTTTCTGTTCCTGAACTGAACAGACTCCCCAGTTGAGAGGATATAAGGAAAAGACAAGTTTGCATGTGACACCACCCAGAAATTTCACATGGAAGGTAACTTTCACAAGATTGAAAAAGGTTATAAGCACTTCATAGAAAAGGGCTGATGTGACAAGCTGTTTAGCTTTCACAGAAAAGTTTCACTGTTACTGGGTATGTCCATCAGCCGGGCCCCATGGTTCGGAAGGCAGGTGCTCACCCAGTCGAGAACTGTATCATGCGGTATGGGAGATCACACAGGGGAAATACCAACTTCCAAATTACAAATCTCTGCAAAAGCAGAAAGTAGTGAGTAACTCCCTGGCTAAATACTTCATATAAACCATTCATAGAATAATGCCAAATAAACAAATTTATAAAAATTGAAGTCTGCTCATGGATAATTTACAAACAGAAAGAAGGGCTAAATTCAAATGAATAAATAATTTGCTGCAAATAATTCACTCAGATCTATTATGGGACATTGATTTGGTTTCTGGTTAGCTATAAAATGACTGCCTATTAACATTTTAGCTTTTCCCTATACACTGTTTGATACATTATTATGTGTTTCTTGCTTGGTTTTATGACTTTTACCTTCCTCTCTGTACATCTGTATGACAGCTTAATTGACTGGTGTGTATTCCATGGCTCATAGTAGAAGCTAATTTAAATATGTTACAGCTAATGTTGGCCCTTTACCCATAATAATGCACACCACATTTTTATCTCCTTATTGATTATGTGCATATGGCAGGAAAATAGCTGAACACTACAGGTTTTTATTCAGGCATGAATTCAGTTTTATACTGAACGTTTAATACTCAAACTGCTTTATAAAATAATACCAATTGTGTAGTGGCCATGCAGTAAAACAGAGCAGCCAGATGTGAATCAAACTGGATCTCTGAGGCTCGTGGATGGATACACATGTTCAAGGGATGGGGCATGGTATGTTGGTGAGATAAATTGATAGCCCATTGATTTCCATGTGTACTGTGCCTGACCTATGGCACTTTAAACATACCTGAACTTTATTTTAAAGGCAAGAAAAATGTTTACAGTGTCCTCCTGCTTAAGAGCAAGTACAAGGATGTTCCAGCATAATTAGCACATCTAGCACTTAGAGAGAGGTTAAACCTGCTAGAGCTTTCTAAATATGCCTCTTGGATAATGAAGCCACATTTTAGTTTATACTGTAATTAACAGGAGCCCCAAACAAGCTGAGTTACCAGGGAAAAGGACAGAAATCTGAATTTTCTCTCTTTTATGGAACATTTGAGCATTAAATAATTAGGCGAAGTAGCTTAATATTCTCCTTGTATTTAACTTAATATTTAGTGTAAAGGTATAAAAAATAATTGCTGGAGGGAAACTTGAGATCATGCATTAGCTATGGTAATCCTGTTCTTATTGTATATAATTAAACTCTTTAAATGCTCCATTAGATGAGATATTTTATACTCACCACCCTCCATCAGGAGATGTGACTCACTATCACTTAACTGATGCCTATGGAGGTACTCACAACCAGAGCCCCATGTACCCTGCTGTTCCCAGAAAGGTGGAACAAAGACATCAGCAGGGGATCAAATTTGGGAATTGTTTAAGATGACACTAAAATAATGCTGCTTTCTTTTTTCTCCTCATCAATGTTCAGTAGATGACAGGTCATCATCTGGATTGCCTGTGCTCCTGTGGCTCTCATTTTGTGCAGTGCTGATCCTTGCTGCGAGTCTCTACTACACCAGCATGAAGCAAGATGTCAAAGTCCTGGAGGAATTTCAATCCCGACTTGTTATCTTCTTTCTTCAGATAAGACACATTGCTCAGAAATGCTGGACTTGGTTTATGAGGCAGTAGCAATGTCCTTCAGCCTGACAGACATCTCAGAACACTGCTAACCAGCACCTGGTAGTGCAAAACTTCCAGTCTACTCTGGCCACATGCAGAGAACACTTGAACATCCACCTCAAAGAGGAAGAAAACCACCCTTGTGCACTGTCCAGCAGCCACTTGCTCTCCTTTTTTTTTTTTTCCTTATTTGTTTTTTTCACATTAGTGGGTGGTCATACTAGCACCTTGAGATCCCACCAAACACATGCTCCCTCATCCTGAACAGCAAACAAGTGTCTGAATTTTGTCCCCCAAAGAGCTTATAAACTGCTGATATGAGGAGCAGAAGTAGAGAGAGAAATACATTGATCCGTGCAAGCAGCAGCAAGCTCTGAATAAAAGTCTCCCTGAGTCTCAGGTCAAGGCTTTAAATCCCAAACTATCTTTCTCCTCAAGTCTCCTAAGAGCTATTCTGCAAAAGTTAAAATAAAGTTGAGCTATTGCACAAACACTGCTCTGATGGCCAAAGGCTTGTCAAGCTGCTATATTTATGCACCTGGAATTATTATTAGTAAAATTCCAGCAAATGGCTTTCTTGTTTCCCTTTCTGCATTTTTTTCCTCCATGGGCAAAAGCTGTTTCTTAATGTTTCACTTGACTCCCAGGTGTGAAAAGGAACATGAAAACTCATTTAAACAGTAACTAGTTTATTTGCCTAACATAATAAATAGCAGCGTTGGATCCCAGGCTAATTACCAAATCAGTAGTTTAATCCTCTGGGTTTGATTCAGTCCATAAACCCCACAAGCTGAGCTTACAAGACTTATGATAGTGCTTGTATTCAGTCAGTGGTTATGCTTTTATGCTTGGGTGTTAGAGGCCTTATATAATGGTAATATGGACTGTTTACAAAGGCATGGGATGCAAAGCCCCCTTATCCCTCCATTGTCTCACCATAGCATGTACCTCTCTGAAGGGAATCTTTTTAAAGGAGATCATGCAATGAATGTGGAATGGTGCTCTGTGTGTCTGAGAGGAGAACAAGCTTCAGCTGTGTTTTCTTACTAGATAAAACCAGCGTGACCAGCTTTTTAGGCTTTAGATTCTTGTCAAGTAGCACCTGATGTGTACTTGGGATTATTTGGTATAAGATTGACATCAGAACCTGTATGAGCTGAAGAGAAGGAAAAAGAAAAAAAAAAAAGAAAGAGAAAGAAAGCACCTGAGAGAAGATGGAAAAGATGCCTGCAAGACCTTGCCCTGAATTCCTCTGCCATTGCAACCCACCAAAAAAAAAAAAAAAATGGTGCTTTATTTTTAATTGATTTATTTTTAAAAAAGAGGGCCATACCTCTCTCTCCCAACAACCTTTTTCCAAGCAACCCAGAGTTTTTAACCAGACAGAGGATAAACAGAAACACGATACGCAGCCTTCTCTCAAGTGGAGAGTGGGCAACAACTTGACTGAGAACAAGTCAAAATAATTTCAGTCCAAGACAGAAACAAGTGACTTCAGTGGCTGTTGTCATGCTCCTCCTCAGACGTCAAAGGCCACAGCAATTATGTTCGACATGTTGCCGGTCTGGGAAGCGGAGGTTGCTGCAGGAAGAGTGTTTAGCTCAGGGGCTCTTTGTGCAAACTGCTCAGGTACCCCAGCTCAGAGGGTAAGTTTCACCACTGCTTCCCTTCCCTCTCCCCTGTCTCAGTCCTGCTCTTTAGGTAATAAAGAAGAAAGGTTTTAAACTTGTGTGCGGGCGAATCTCTGATGAAAGTATTTCAATTGGTATCTGCATGGGGCTAGGGTCATTGCAACTTCTGTTTGAATTTTTTAATGTTTATGATATTTTTAATGCTCATGCTGAAACTTTCTGGCAAATCAGCGGTGTCCCTTTTTTGTCTCTGGACTGAAACATCCTCTCAGCACATAGCAGCTAACCCCTTCAAAACAGGAACCTTTTTTGAAGGGATAGTTCCCTCACTGCAAGTGATGGCACATTGCAACAAGAAAGTAAAGCCTGACTTGACAAGAACAGAGCAAGCTTAAGAGCAAGATCAGTAAAGTAAACCCTTCCGGTATGTTAGCAACCTGGTTTCAGTAACTTTAAAACAAGCCAAAGGGTTAAGGTAAAACAGTAACTCCTTTTAGGGCTGCAAGGGAGAATGCAGAGGCAGTGTGAAGTCCATATGTGTAATCACCTCCCGGCTCAGCTCCCCAGGAGATGGGCATGGGACCACCATTCCACTGGGTCTGCTTTAAATGGAAAAGGGCCACGTTCTCCTTTCTGGGGCCCAATTTTATCAGTGTCAGTGAGAACGGCTATCATATCTGGGCCGTCAGGGAAATTAAGCAGAGGCACAGCTATTCTTGGCTTCTACCTAGGCTCTGGTTGGGACAGTTATGGACATGGGTAAAGGCAGCAATGTTGTCTGTTGAGGTCTCGCCATGGCCTTGAAAGGCCTCACAGGTTAGGATTGTTTACTGGTGTCAGTCAGATACGTGTCAGGCTGCAGAAAGGCAAAACAAATTTGTTATGAAGTTCGACATAAATAAAAGCTAAGCCCCATTCTTGGGAGAGTGGTGGCATTTTGCAGGTGAAGAAACTGAAGCTGAGAAAGCCAATGCATCTGTGCGAGTGAATAAAGCAAGTCAATAACAAGGCTGGGAATAAGAGAAAAAAATCCCAACTCCTGGGCCTGCATTTACTTACTGCTGCACAGCTTCACTGTGGCCTTACATGTTTTATTTCCAACATACCTATTTTATTTCCTTCTCACACTGAAGCTTTTTTCCCATTCATCCATCCTGCTTATACATGTGCCCTTTTCCCACTCTGCCCCTTCTTTCTGTTCTTTATCCATCACAGATCTATCCTTGCCACTGTGAGCCAGATGGGATTTCTCCTTATTCTTGTTCAATGCTCTTTTTCTAGGTGTGACACCTTTGTGAGTTTGGAAGGGTTAATAGGAGCTCTGAAGTTACACAAAATCAGACATGTTGGGTAATAATTCCCTTGTTGGCCATGATGAGTAATATTTCCCTTCAGTACAACTCCTGGGAATTGCCCATAAAGAGGTAAAAAGGGAGAGGGAGTCCATAATTTATTACAAACGGTTGAGATGCTCACCTGAATTCAGGCTGGTGCCAGCGTGGTGAATCATTTAGTACTCAAGAATCCTGAAGCCAACCAGCTCTGAGCCATTATTTAATCCAGCTTGAAAATGGTCATGTTTTAGCTTTAAAGGGCTGAAAGGAGTGATGGAGGATGGGACTCTTGCAGCAATTTCTGAATCAAACTGTGAGTAGATGGTCTTCCCAGGAGCAGTGTCTAGGGCAGCAGGAGTAAAGAGCCAGAAGAGAGTAGAAGAAGGCCTGTGCATGAAAATGGGCTAGTGGTAGGGCTAAGGGTAGAAGTGCTGCCTATTATCCCCTATGCGATATGTATGAAATTAATGCACAACAGAAATCAGCAGACCACAACAGTACGGGGTAAGCATTGTTTTGACAGTCTTCAGTACATTCCTGCAGGTTGAATGGAGGGCAGCTGCCAACACCCTCTTCAGGCAGGATCACCACATCAACAGCACCTTATTGCACCAACAGGCATATCCATACCCATACGATTAGAAGAGATAGAAAAGGACACAGTGAGTTGATACTAGGTTTTTTTACATTAACCTTTTAATGTACTCAGCATTAGCCCTGGTAAAAGACAGCCCCAAAGACCGCTTCTAGGCACCATCTCTCCAACCCTGCTAGTCTGGAAACAAGCTAACAGAGCAGGTGAAGCCTATAGCAGCAATTTTACTTGTCATTTGTTTCTTTTACCACTTCAAAGCAGGCAGGAGGGCTGGCAGCATGTGACTAGAAAAAGGATATTACCAGCTGCCTTCAAGGACTAATTCAGGAACCTTTAAGTTAATAGTGTTGACTTGTTTGTTATTAATTCCTCACTCCAGGATAGCTGTTGGGAACCTTTAGACCCACCTCTGAAGAGAAAGGCTGATGTCACATAGAGAAAATTAGCCAGTTGGCATTTAGAAAATGAACCTGCCTATGCAGTCTATGCTCCTCTACATTTGGTAACAAGCTCCCTTTCAGCTGCATGCCAACATAGGAACATCTTCTCCTTGCCTCCTATGGCAGGATATGGCCATATCCTTGACTATACAAGCTGGCATAGAGATGCTGAGGAGTGAGTACACAAACTAAGATGCTACTACTGACTTTGAGAACAATTTTTTATCTTACATTGTAGCAACTTATATTCACCTTCAAAAAACAGGCACAGAAATATTGACTTTTCAAATAATTTATTTGCATATATCACTAAATCATAAAAAGCCAATGCACTGTCCAGCAAAAAGCATCAATATATAAAACACGTTAACTCATTATCAGTAACACTAGAGTGTATCACTTATACTGAACCCAGCCCAGCTCCTACTAAAGCCAAAGGAAACTTTGTCAGTGACTCTATTAGTAGAAGGATTGGACTTAGAATTTTTCTTTGCTAGGTGTTTACAAAGGGCTATATTAAAATGCTAGTAAAAAGCTTCCCTTTTGAGACTGTATCAAAACAATAATAAACCTCACTCAAATTCTGTTTCTGTCAAATGCATGCAATTAAAGCTCCAAATTAGCAGTCATTATGCTGCAAAAGACCATACAAATCAAGAGAGATAGCATTTAGAACAGACCAGGCTCTACTCTCAGCTGGTATGGACTGACATGACTCCAGCACAGCTCACAAAGCTAAACTATATATGCCAGCGAAGGATCTGCCCCTTTACTGCTTTCAGCAGTTAAACAAATTATGAAAAGTGTTCACTTTTGTCCCCAAATACCCATTACACGGGGACCTCTTTAGCAGCATAACACAATAGTTAATCTAGACTCTTGTAAAGCTTTTTCTATGTGTCCATAAGAAGAGACAGTAGCTCATGAATATGTAAGTTACAGGACATACATTTCAGAGAGACTGATCTTTTCAGGTTGTACCACACAAAAAACCCAAACCTTTTAAAACAATGAGTGTTAATGAGCTATTTTTAAAAAAATGGCAAGTCTACAGAGATTTGGGAACAGACTTTCCTTCCCCCACACAAGCCACAAGCTGCACAGGGCAAAGGGCCAGCTGCAGGCTGTCTGGATCTGCCAATGTGGAAAGAAGAGGTTTCCAAAGCAGCCACTCCACATTTGGTGGCAATGCCAGCACCTTTACACTAGATAACTGCACGGCTGACACAGGTGGCTCTCTCCAGAAACTGATTTTAGGCCAACACATGCTTCAAGGAGATGCTCTGCAGTTTGTGAAGCCACGTGAGCAGGCAGCATCTGAGAGGGCCAAGCGAAGGCTGAAATCGGTGTCAGCACTGCCTGCACAGGTGCTGCCATGTGGGATCCCTCACATTGCAGCCTGTAAGCTGAAATCCCTCAAAGGAAATGCACTCACAGCTCTCCTCACTACCTATTTCTCTTCTGGTTTATGGCATTCTCCTGTCCCCCTCTGCAGTCTTTGTCCCCAGTAGGAAGAGACATGAGAAATTAGGCCTGATCAGCATGACATCAATAAAACCCTCTGTGAAGTTTGCAGGAATGTTTTTGGAGATGAAAGGATCCAAGGGAATGAGATGTCAGTGGAACTGTTGGGCTTTTTTGTTGTTGTTTTATTTATAAACCTTCAAAAAGCTCTTAGGAGTGTACTTCAGATCACAGCATATTGATTTCTCAATTGTGTAGTTTGGACTGAAAAACAGCAATAGGTTTATTCAGAGAATATTTGACCAGAATTGCTGTAAAACCATCAGTCTGCACTGGCTGTGGATGCCAATGCAGTGGTCCTCCCCCAGAAGGATGCTGTTCAGCATGGACCTTCTTGGCACCATTTAGCAAAAGAATTGCTTGCAACTCCAGTAAACTGTGGTTTAATAAGGAGACTGTTAGCACCTTTTGAAGTCAAATGTTGAACACTGTTGTAACAATGACAGTTAAAAGTGTTGTAGCAGCCTAGAAAGTGGAATGGGTTAACTGATGTGATCAAGATCCAGTGGGCTGCAGAAAGATGTGCTGTATTTCAGACACAAACTATTGGACTTCACAGTGTTAACGGGGAAAAATAATTCCCTTTGCTGCAGGAGTTAGTGAGTGAAGAGCTCTGGACTGTGTTAATGTGGGATACCATGACAGAAGATTTTCAAACATTTCCCTGCCTTAAAATCTATGGTTTAACATAGCACTGATCTAATTCCACCAGGTTCCTCAAGGGGCTGCTGGCACCAGCCTTGGGAACCTCCTTGAGCAACATATCACCCAAATCAGGCCTGGCTTATGTAAAGGGAAGAGTTTGACATACCCCAGAGAGCCCAAGTGAGAACAGGGAAAATCTGCAGCACTTTTTCTTATTTTTTGACAAAAGGTAAAGTTTGTCATAGAAGCTGCAGTTTTTCTCACATTCATAAATACTCTTCAGAACCTGTATACAAACTGGAGTCAAACTTGCCCAAATCTGGGGGGAAATGAGGGGAAGTAAGGAGGAGATAAAGAGTAGTTTTGTCACATTACTGTTTACACATTTGTATGAGAAATCACCCAAGACATCAACAGTAACCATGAATCTTCATTCCCAGATCCTGACAGATTGTCCCAGTCCTCACTTTAGAACATAGACAAGTGGGAAGGGGGAACAAAAACTTCTCAAATTAGGTTTCCACTGTATACAAATAAGTCAGGGTATTTCAGTGAGCAGCTCTTGCTGCCAAGTACTTTATCTCCTTGATAAACACCAGAACTGCCAGAATAAAACATGGTTATTTAGGAATTTCAAGACAAGTAGAAGAGCTTCAGCAGGAGGATTTGAGAGGAATCCAGGATAACACCATGGCAGCAGCATTTGCCATGCAGATAGAGGCTTGTGTCTCCCAAGGCAGGGGGAGAAATTAAACCTCTGCCTCATAGTTACCTGCCAGTGGGGAGGGTTGGTGAAGGAGCTTTACAGGCATTTAACAAGTAGCTCAATGCTTTCTGCCATCCCTATGAAATGCAACTTCTTAGGTCATGTATAACTTTCCATGTCTAACAAATCTCAGTTGCTGGGTTTTGTTTTTTTTTTTTTTTTTTGTGAAATAAAAAATATTAAAAAAACATGAAGAACAAAAAAATCATTATTTGATCAATCAAAAGGGATATTCAGATAGCCCTTCTTGGGTGCCTATGCCCATTTTTTAGGATCAAGGATCTGACAGGAAGCTAATAAACATTAAATACTAAATCCTTTAGCTATCTATGAAAATAGGATTTAGACTCTCATATGGATTCAGTTCTTTTGACTATTGTGTGCAATAACAGTTTAAGAAGTTATAGTAGTTATGAGAGGTAGAAAAGTTTAAGCACTCAGGTGAATACATTCACGTTAATCTATGTTTGCAATAGCAGTTCAATTACACTCTTTGGCATGGACAAAAGAAACTAAAGAGAAAGCACTGCTATGTAAATACTCTTCACAACAAGAGAATGGAAAGACACAGCTCAGGTTAGTTTCCCTCTTTCTTGTTGAGGATAAAAATAGAAACATGCACTTCAAGGCATTAGGACCATGAACACAACTAATTCTAAAACAATTTCAGTGCTCATGAAGTCATATGAGCATTTTCTTGCTACATGCATGTGTGGAAACTAGCCAGGTAAAACCTGCCTCTCTTCCCAGACTGCCTAAGTATAAGGAAAGGTTATTTATGGTCTCCAAAGCAAACATTCCGATGAGATAAAAATGGGTTATTTCCATCAGCAAAGGAAATAACCTGAGACACAAACTTAGGATCTGAATATATACCGGATTCCCATTAGCTGAAGGATGTTCACACCCAGGCCATTGACTTAGAAGAAAAGACAAAAGTTTTGTCAAAATACATATTGGTTTGTCACAAAATAGAGTAAGTCTTGCTAGTATAAATAGCTGTCTGAAATTTTGTTATATTTATTACCTAAATAGTAAAAGTGATTTTACATGTAATATGTTTGAGATGGGGGGTTTTGGAGAAGAGAGATGATGAAAGCCACATTCACCCAAACACCAGGTTTGTATGTATTTTCTTGCACTGCATTCTGAATTTGCACATCTGATATTGCGTTTTCTGAGACCCGTCACATAGATCGGTGTATGATTTGAGGTTGTGTAGAAACCCTGTTTCCTGCATAAAGCCTACACAATGGCATGTGGCTCGCACTTCCCTAGCCAGGGTACCCCATGCTCTGCACTCTGAGCAGCCTGAAGAGACTCCTATGCACATCCCCCATTTCTCAGGTGATGGTCTCCAGTCATCTACCTAAGGACTAAGTGCATGAGGTGGTAACAACTGAGATTGGACCAATACGTGACAAAGAATAAAAGATTCTGGAAGACAAATGAAGGTGAAGCATGGCTTTGTATCTCACTGACGGGAGCCTTCAGGTGTTGGGGTGAACCCTGAGTGCCCTCTCCTAACCAGTCATCCACTTCACATGCAACAGTCATTGCACCAAGAAACCCCAAAGCCCTCAAACCAGGAATCAGTTGGCCCTGTCTAGTCCTCCATTTCAGAGAATAACACAGCCTAGGGTGTTCTAACCCCTTGTTTACATAGGGGATTTAGAAGAAACAGGACAAGTGCACATGATTTCTTAAGGTGAGTTTTCAGATTACTTTTAATACAGAGAGTGAGATTCTCAGACAACATAAATCAGCTTAGACCTTCTGTCCCTCAAGAGCTACACACTAACTCGCTACACCAAAGATCTGCCTGATTTTCTTCAACCATTAAGACAATAAGTTTTCAAATTAATTCTCCCATCTAAACTCCTACTACTAAATAACTGTGTTACAAATACATGTTTTTTCCTCTTTCTCACCTTATCTTTTCTAAGAGTAATTAAATGGCTCTTTACAATGCACACACTGGCTCTTTTCATCCAGCATATTGTACTGTGTTGCAGAAGAGCATGGTATAGCAACAGAAGGATTGACACTGCTATCAAAATATCTTCTGTTTGTCACCTGCAAGTTCATATTTTAAATCAATTAATAACAGGACCGTGTTCATTCAAGGGTCCTTGGTCATTTAGGAGTCCGTGGTGCATAATTCCTGAATAAGGGGAAAAGTACCCCCTGCTCATGCAGTATAACTGTAAAGTGTGTGCTCCTGTTCCTTGCAGCTCTGCTTCCATCCTGAATGCTACATAGGTTAAATCGACAGTGTTTCGTGTTGATGAGGGAAGGCCTTGAAGGGAAATGTGACTCTTTGTTCCTAACAGGACTACTACAGGCTAACATCAGGATTTTAGCCAGAGATAGGGTAGGAATTAAAACATCTGCAAACCTGCAGGAGGAACCCATCTCAGCACTTGGGAAATTGTGCACTGGCCAGTACTTTCCTATTCCACATCCACCTCTGGGTATCCATAACCTATGTATCATTGCACAGATCTTAATACTAAATAAGAAAAAAGCAGTGTAGAAAGTTAAGGCAACCTAACAACTACTCCGACCTAAGTTGCCTGTTAAGAGAAGAGCCTAAATCCACATCACAGGAGAGCAGTGAAATTATTTCTGGCATATATCTCTGTACATTGTACATGCATACATACACGACCTTTCTGACACGGAATGCTTTCATGACCAGGTCTGTACATTCAAGCATCCATCACTGGTTTTTATAACAACCAGTTTGCTAAGAGACACCAGGAACATTGTCATAACATACCTGTGTTCTTCAGGTTTTAAAGTAAACCATCACACATTTATTTTTGCAGATCCTATTGAAAGTTCATGAATTTGTAGGATAAAATGTTATGAGCATTTGTGCCCTTATGAGAAAATTCTCTTACAAAAAAATAAATTGTTTCTCCATTATAAAAATAATAATAAACAGCATTGATCTGAAAGTTCAGATGACACTTGTTATCTCAGATTTTTCTAAACCAATGTGGACTGCTGGCAGGGACTTGACAGGGAAATTAAACACAGATGGTGGCCAGGATGTGGGGAATATATTCGGTAGAACAAAATAATTGTGTGGCAACACTCTAGCACCTTGGAAAGCAGTGTCTAGTTGCATGCAACCAAGTAAGGCTCTCCTTGCACTGTTAGCAATTTTCACAGTCCAAAACAAAATCTTTAGACTGTGGTTTTAGCATCACAGGGAACACGATGACTAAACAATTGCATCCCACATTTTCCACCAGAATGGTTCACAGTTTTGCAATGAGCTGCAGCAGGAAGGACTGCATGGGCAAAGGCCACAAAGTTTTTTCCCCTTCCACCATGTGACAATAACTAAATACAATATAAATACCACACAGGGTTCTAGTTCCTTGAATACTCCTCTTGCTAGAGTGTTCCCCAAGGCCTCCTTTTGAACATGTTTAATTAAAGAAGTCATTGAAATATCACAGAAATGCAGCATTTGACTCACAGAAACTTATACTGCAGCCACACTGTGTGGTATGACTAAAAGCAGAGATCAGAAATGTACAAGTGAAGTGTGAGAGAGAGAATAGGTAGGTATGTATTTATGTGTGTATAAATAAAACCATTATTCTAACACATTTTCAGCCTGGCATCACCAGGTTGGCCTGTGTGTCCAAGCTTTAGGAGAAGAGGGTGCAGAAAGATAAATGCAAACAAAAAAGCCCAGGCAGGTCCAATAACTGGGCATTTAACAAAACCCTTCCTCCCCTCAAGTCAGCCAGAGAGCTTCTCACTACACACTGTGCCCTCTCACCTGTCCAGGGGCTTCCTTCAAAACTAGCTTTTCTTTTAAGCATCACTGATGCTTGCAAGCTGGGCGCCAGCCTCATCCCACCTGGTCAAGTGAGGGAAGCTGGAAAAAAAGACAAGGATGCATGTGGGACTCAAAGAAGAGACTCAGCCTCTTTTCAGTTTACGTGCCAACTCCAACAGCCAAGATGCTTGCATTCATGGGCACTGAAATGCAACTGCAATTAGAAGAATTCACACAGGTAAGTGAGTTAAAGAGGCTAAGCTTTGATGACAAAGTTAAAAGGTGAGTCTGTAAATGTACGTGTGTTGGGCTGAACTTTTCAAAGGCCAAAGTGAAGTACTTCATTTCTATTGACTATTACTTCGAGGTGGGATCCTGGTTGCCCCAGGTGCTTTAAAGATCGCACTTTTTGTCTACGGAGCTGCAGAGCAATGAAGGTAGTGTCAGGGAGATAGTGTCAGGGTGACAAATGCTACTGAAAACACTAACCACAAAAGTCAACAAGAGTAGAAACTCCAGGACCAGTCTTTGATGCTTCTCATGGAAGTAGAAAGGGGAAAAAAACTTTGAGATGGGAGAAAAGAGAGGTAGAAGACATCATGAACTTCAGACAACCTCACCAATGAGCAGCATCTTATTCCTCAGAACCAAAGACAAGGCTTGAGCCCTGGTATCTCAGATCCAGGATGAGGAGGTGACACTTGCTATCTTCTGCCTCCTGGTTCTTCAAACTCCCAGGCAAGACCAGGAACAGTGGTCCCAACCCACACATTACTTCAGCCTAAGCCTGATTTGACACATACATAAAATATAATACACAAAGCATCATCATGGCTACATATGAGGAGTAAGGCATGCACTGAAGTAACTTGTGGGAAGAGACATCAATCCTGAATCTTAAATTCAAAGTGAGATTGGAAGGAGAAGTAGTGTCCTTTACAGTGGAATATGCAACTGGGAAAACATAGGAATCAGGCTAACTTTCAAGACCCAAACTCTCCTTCAGGGTATGAAGGGGAAGGTCATGCCCTGGAAAAGTGCTTAGGTATCTGCAAGTGTGTCTCTCTTATTAGATCAACTGAACAAAAAAAGACACTCCAACAGTCCTTATATCTAAAGAGTAAATTGTTATTAAAACTTGATCTCTGATTCCTTCTCTAGGAACTTCTCCTCTGAGGTCAATTCACAGGTACAAAAAAGCCACTGCCGCAGAACTTTCAAAGCAATTTAATTCCCTTGTGGGCAGAAATCATGCTGAAAAACAAGATCTCTCTACATACAGCTGTGGCCAGCTGGAACTATAAGTAATGTTCATAGGGCCACTCACTGCTTACAGAACATGGAGGGTTTTTTCCCTAAATCTATAAGAACAATTTGGATGTTGAACGTAATGTTAGTTTTTCTGCCCTAATATGCTTACTAATTCAGGGATTTGTTATGAATTCAAATTCTGTTTCAACTAAACGCTTTAGCCCATACTAAACTTTAAGCATCAGATAGTCCCCAGAAGACAACAATAAATCTGCATGGTTGTGCCAGCCCCAGACTTGAGATCTGATGGGATGGAAGCCTGCTGTCTTCTCTCCCCTCCTTCTTATTTACCAGGCGATATAGTTGTGCATGTTTTGCACTCACGTCGCAGCAAATTCAGTCTCAACTCAAACGCAGCTGCCACAGGCACAGGCAAGTGTACTACCAGAAAATCTTCTTCAGCCTAAACCTAACCGATTGCTTAAGTTTTCTGCTGAATCAGGGCCTTTCTGTAAAATGCATACCCAGGGACAACTGCCTAATTCTAGTACAGCTTTACTTCACTGCCGTGCAAATCCCACGCTCATCCGAGCGAATCTTCTTAATTATCAGATCTACTTCTCACCTCAGCCATCCACCTTAATTGTTGAAGCACTGGCTAAGCAAAACTGAAAGTAACAATGAAGTCACTAGTGAGCTTTGTGTAGATAACAGTTCTCGCTTTTCACAACAAAATTCATCAGCCCTGGAACTCCTGTCCATGAGTGGGGAGAACGGACCCATTCAACACTGAACTACCTATAAAATAACTCAGCTGTTCAAGATCCTTGCTATGTTTATAGATATATAGAGATACACACAATGCAAATGTTTACAGTAATTTTGTATACTCTATATGGAATAAATACCACAAGTAAATTCTAATACTCAAAACTGAATAGCATACAATGTTAGGGACCAAGTTACATATATAAATGCACAAGCATCAATGCTATCTATTCAGCCTAATTTCTTAGTATGCAAGCTTCAGCAATTGCTAGCTACACTATATTTCAGGAGTCATAATAAACGTTGGTCATGCCAAAATCTAAGAAGAAACAAAACCACAAAAATTCTCCACCATCCTTCAAAATGATACACATTTTTTGACAGGTGCTGTAATATTATAGTGGTTTAATGGAATTCATTAACACTGTCCAACATTAAATATCAAGTCTGGAACATAGGCCTCTGTTCTAAATGAACTCGAAATCAGAGCAGGAGCAACAGGTTTGTCTGCACTGTATTCATACATAGCAAAAGCAGAGACAGCGAGAGTCTGTACCTGGACAAGAGCTGAAATTACCCAGAATAAAGTGAGAATAGGGGAAGCTTTACTGGCAAAAGGGAGGAGAAAGAGAGAAGAGGAACTAGACACAGCCCCAGTTACAACTGTCATTTCAGAATGAAGAAACAGTCTGGAATGTAACCTGGTCTTGCCAGCTCAGTCTTCAAAAATGGCCCGTGTCCTGAAAGCCAGGGATAGCGTGTAGAAGCTCTGCTAGCAAGAGCAGGTTACAGACTGTGCCTGAGCAGGACAGAAACTTTACTGTGCCAGTGGCACATGCGGCCGTTCGTTCTCTCTATCCTAATTGTAAGTATTTCTGCCAACAATTTATCATGGAGGAGGTGGGTGCTTCGCAAGTACCTCTCTTTTCAGAAAAGAAAAAATCTCACACAACTCAGTACTGTGACTCAGCTTCAGCTCACACGATTGAATAATAAAATCTAGATCCTGCCCTGGAAATTTGCTTACACTTTAGATCATGCCACTTTTCTCATCTTGCAAAGAGGTTCGTGAAGCGGATCTTCCTAGCAACAGCTCCTTCTCATGGATCAGGCTATCCAGCAGGTCCTCCTGTCTGTAGTTGTGATAAACCTTCAGGAAAGCCAGAATGGTAATTCCCAGCCAAGTCAGCCAGGCAGCCCAGAGACCAAACTAGAGAAGAAAAGAAATGATAAAGAGGTCAGTACTGTGTCGTAAAAGCAAATTCAACTGTCCAGGTGAATATCAAAACCTCAGCTGGACAAAACCCCATGGAGTCACACCAAGTCAAACCCAATGAGGTCCTGGCCCCACTGTTGCTCAAGTCTGTCAAGTTATTCCTAGATTAAAAGGAAATTATGTATGAGAAAGACTGAAGTAAAAATGTACTAAATACAATCATTTAAGAAAGAAATCTGTATAACCCACGTACATCCATTGAACTTCACATATCTGACATTCTGGCCAGCCCAAAATTGTTGGGATTATTTCACTTTTGTTACTTTATTGTAATATGTTTTAAGACATTTTCCAGAACTTTTTTCCCAAGTCCTTCAGACCTTTCACTACCCCTGCAGAAATGTTAATTTTAAGGTATTTCTATTCAAAATTTTATTGAGACAATCTTATAAATTGAACCTTTACATTCTGGGGTAAGTGGTTGACACTAGCATGAACTCAGAGAGCAAGAGAAACCCACTACAATGCATTCAAGTGTTTGGTGATTCCTTTATACCTGGCATGAGGAACCTGGACTTAAAGACTTGAATCTGCAATAAGTCTCATCACTAACTTAGTCTCTCTTGCTTAACTTTGTAGGAATAATTACTCTTTGATTGGTTCAGGTACTTGAACATTGGCCTCCCTGTCTGATAAGAGGCACATACGTAGTAAGATTTTCTGGAAGAAATTCCATACTAATTCTATGATGCCTTTAGCAAAGAAACATTAATTGAATCCCTGTATTTCAGTTTTGACACACTGAATTTTTAATTAAAAAAAAAAAAAAAAAAAAGCAACAACAATTTAAACACTTCTAAACAGTAATACAGCTGCATACTCTAATAGCCAATTTAGATAAGCAAGAGCCAATTTTTTTAAAGAGAGTTTAAATTCCTATATATCTTATGTACTTTGGAAATTCTCTTAGGTATTTCTGCCCATACTTACAATTATTTCCATTCACTGGTAAAAAATTTTTTTGAGTTATTCTACAAACCTTGGGAATAAGGAGATATTAATTGAGCTTGATATTACTATATCTAGAGAATTGGAAGTTTTGCATTCATTTCTTAAGCATCACTTCATTAATGAAATAATCATCTTAAAGACATTCAGATATCTGCTACTGATGTGGTCTTCTCAGCATATTTGATATGAAAGAATCTACTTGGATTTAACCAAATTCAGTGAAACTCCCGGAGCCATTCTGATGTATTAAAAGCATCTGAATGGAAGAAAGCAGACAGACACAGAGACTGCTTCTAAGTAAATCCTACTGTAGGGAATTATTGCACTTATAAGGAAATGTTTGCTTTAGCCAGTAAGTCTAGTCTATTCTTGGGTTTCTCTTTCTACTGTTTCAAAGAAACTTATACACCCTCCATAGACAGACCCATTCTTGTACCTTCATCCAACTCTGCTTACCACACCCTGGATATCAGAAGCCAGTGATGTAGGATTTTGTTGCCTGCTTTGTCCTTTCTTCAGTTGCAATCAGGATTCACTTTGACAATATGAGGTTCAGCTTTTGAAGCCAAATGGTGGTTCCCTGGAGCTGTTAGGCTCCCAGGTCTTCATACTTGGATGCAGAGCTTAGTGGCTGGACCTTGCAGGCTAGCTCTCCCCAGGGACATCTGGAGGGACATGGATTGGTGTGGGGAGCCACATCCAATGTCTTGGGCTCATTCATCTATGCTGTGATATGTTAACTCTCCTGCAACTGAAGTGCTATGTGCATGGACCTTGGCTTGTAGGCATGGCTCCTTGTTAGAGAAATGTCTTTTCTTGTATATAGATTACCAACTGCCCACCCTGAGATCACAAGGTGGACGTGGACATTTAGCTCCCATGAACTCAAAGCTATAGACTGGTAACAGTTTTACTTCTGCTACCCTTCCACTAGCTGGCAGATTAGGAGCTAATGGCAAAATCTGCTACAAAATACAGCTTGGCCTTGGGCTAGCATCATATAAAAGAGTCACTGCTACATCATATTTCTGTCCTACATGCAGCTATGTCTAAGCTGGGTGTCTAGATGCCAACGCTGGCAATGAAGACACAAAACTAGCTTGTGTCCAAGAGGCAGGGTTACCCTAAAGGGATGCCCCAAGCAAGTTAAATCCTCTTCCCATGCCACGCAACATAAGAATCACATGTACGGGTGCAACCCTGCATGGATGGAGCTATCCTCCTTGCAGAACTAGTATGTGCTCACATGAACAAGTGGTCAGGTCCCAGTTTTCACTGACTTTGATTGTTGACTTAGAACTAGCATATTCAATAGAAAGGTCTAACAGCCTTAGAGGTCAGATTCTTCATAAAACAGCCCCATCTAAATGACAATAATCTTTAATTATTTTCAGTGATCTGATATTTATATAGCTCAGGAGTTTTCAGACAAAATCATGGAAGGCAAAACTAATAGCCCCGTGATCTGGTGCAGGTCAGACATTATTCTGAACAGCAATGAAGAGCTCCAGGACACCAGAGCATTGTAACTTTTGCAGAGCTCATCCTTTGAGAAAACAATAAATTTTCCATCATGAGTAATAAGATCAGTGGCAGTGTCAGGTTTTGACACGTCCACATTCAAAACTATCCATTTTGAATTTAAAACACAAATGTGCCCATCACTGTCATCCTGATTCACCACTTACTGAAGTCAGTGGAAACATTCCCATTGATTTCAGGGGAATGGTAGTTCAGCTCCAGCAATCTCAGATCAATGAGCAAATGGCAAATTAACTGGAATAGAATCATGATCTAGTCTGACTTACCTGTGCAATAGCAAACTGGTCATAGAAAGCAGAGTTTTCTAAGTTCAGTTCAAGATCTATATCCTGTAATTCTTCACAGCTACCCAAAGAAGGCATTTGGAGGGGAAAAAATAAAATTATTTCAGAGATTCCAAACAGGCAAACCAAATATAAAATGAAGCAACATCTTAAAAGTGTTTCAAACAGTCACAATGGCATATTCTATCAAAAGATACTTAAGTTATTGCAGTAATCAGCTTGCTTGCCAATCTTCTCTAAAACTAGGCTAAAGAGGCATGTAATTACTTTTTTTTTAAAAAAATAAATATATGTAGATACATATAAAATTTTGTGAGTGATAACACCAGTCTTCTGTAAGTGGAATTGTAATAGTTATTATGAAAACAGTATACTTAAAACCCTCTTCTCCCACTACCCACAAGCCTCCCACATATACACATCTGGCATCACCCCAGGTTGGTTTCTTCACCCCTCAATGAAACAAATTGTATGAGCCTCCATTACCTTTTGACTTCATCAGGAAAAGCCTCAGAAGAAAGGATTGTGTGGGTGTTTTTGTTTCGGATGCTCCAGCAAGGAGACGATACTCTGATGGTAAGATAGAGGCTGCCTACAGATTTTACAAATAACTTGGACTTTTACTGGTGTGAAAAAAATCCCAGGATTTTGAGGTTGTCTTTCTATCTCTTGGTTGATTTCTGCAGCCTCTTCTCTCTCCTTTTCAGTGTTGTCGGCCATCTTGGGTTCTTATCCGAATATTCGATTAGACGTTTTTTGTAATAGAATTTTTAACCGAATATTCGAATAATTCGATTAATCGTTGCAGCCCTAAACAGAACATTTACTATGGCATTTTACAACATATGACAATGTGCAACATAAATGTATGCTTTAAGTAGTATGAATATTCAATATCATATGACATAAAATGTCACCTTTTCCTCTCTTTTCAATATTATTTGTTTGATAGGAAAAAAAATCTACCTCAACCTATCATGTTTCCTGTAAGGAGCATAAACATCGTGGGATACAGTAAACCATTTTAGGAGCTGCACATCTGTGTGCCATAAGAAAGTATCAACCATCTGTCCTTTGCCCTTAGAAAGCACTTTCCACTCTTCAGCTCTCAGGGCAGCCACAGTACCGCTATGAGGCCAGCACCTTTATACCAATTTTTGGATGATGGTGCGTTGTGGCACAGGCAGGGTGAGTGACTGGCCCACTGGCACACAGTGGGTCGGTGGCAGAGCCAGGACAGCAAGCTGGGAGCCCTGACTCCCAGTCCCCTGACCTGCTCACAAGACCATACTCTCCCCGTTCTTGCAGCATTTCCAAATCTAGTTCTCCTTTGGAAATGAAAAATTTTAAACTAATGGATTTGTTTTGCATATGATCACGACTCTTAAAGAGACCGTGAAACGCCATGGAAACATACTTTTCTCTGTGGGGAACTAAACGCAAAAAAAGTTTGATTTGCTTTTTTTGTTCCGGATGAAAAAAAACTAGATTTGCACGTTACAGATGCCTTCTCCCCCTTGTTCACCTTGCATGTAATAACTACAGTTTGCAACAGCACTGTTCATTTGTGCATATATGGGGAAAAAAAAAATATAGGAAGAAAATGTATTCTTCAATACTAACCTATTTGGCATGCTTCCTTTTTCAGTAATTGCATCACACCACATGTTAAATCCTACACTCACTATAGTGCTAGCAATAAATGTGATAAACACCACAAAGGCGCTGATCAGCAGATTCAGGAAGGCATAAAAGAAAGAGCTGCAATAAAAAGGAAGAAAAATGTAACTCATAAACAGCTGAAACACGACATCAGCAGTCTCTCTGAGCATCATACACTGGGCACAAAGATATCAGTTTCCATTTGAAAAACATCTGCTTTAATTAAGAACACCTAATACACTGAAAAACTATGGATTATGATTTTGAGTCACATTATCTTCATTTGTAAGTGCTTTCGATTTTGATTTTTTTTTTCACCATAAGAGGATGGGGTTTCAAATCATAAATACTAAGTGGTGATTGTTCATACACAGCATGGCTTTCATTAGCTATAATGATGAAAATCACCATTGTTAAAATAAATGTCATTAGCTCAAATTATATAGTAACTCGAGCTAAAATTATTTCATGACTAAAGTGATAATTGGGACAAAACTGCCTAGGAGAGGGAAACTAAAAATAAAACAACACAGTACTGATAGCTATAATCATTTTAAGCAATGTAACACAAGATACTGCCATCATAGGACACGAACCTCAGTTTTATGGGCAATTTGCAAAGTAGGCCAGCTTCTCCTGGGGCTTCTCTGGCTTTGGTGTCAGTATGTTATTTCTGCCAGCTGAATGTCAATTTACATGAGCCTCATTAAGCCTGCCCAACCAGGGCCAGCCCTAGGCACGTTCTGTGTTTGGAGTGGTAGGGTGTGGGATGCTTACAGGGGTCCCATAAGACCAAGGATTTGTCTACTCATCTTCCAACCTCACTGCTTAACTCTCCCCCTTAATTCTAGTTAGTGAAAACTTTCTAATCCTTTTCTCATTCATCTGATCAAGTCCTTCACTGCTTGAAACTGCTTTAGGTGACACTTGGAAAGTCTTGTCATCTAAAAACTGGACATCCACTCTAGGTTGGAGAAAGACTGGTAAGAGACAGATCATCCTATTCAGATTAGGTGGTAAGGATGAACATGACAAATTTCCTGCCAGTGCCACTGTCATTATGATGAGGATAGAAGGAGTCTACTCATCACAGATAACAAAAAAACAATAATTTCTTTTCCCTGGTGGCTTATTAAATGAAAAGCTGAGAGGCTTTTTGAGTCAGTGTTTGAATCCTGGTAAGGTTCCAGGCTGGTCAATCCTACTTTGTACAGGTTATATGTGTCTCACCTCGGGAAGACTTCTTCAAAATTAGGTGAGGAAACAATTAGCAGTGGGTTACAAATATCTATTTCTGGGTTGACATGGCTTTAGAGGAGCTGTCTAGGCTCTCTCCAAAGTGACAGTCATCCCATCCCAACACTGATAGAAAAGAAATTAAATAAAACACCTTCCAAAAGTGCTCTTACAGTCAGTCTGTAGTGGGAGCTGGATGACAGGACACCTGACTTATAGATGAATCTTACTCTTAACCTTTGGCTTCACTGGACTTGGTGGATCAGAGCAGCTCACCTCTACAGAGTGCCAGGGTCGCCCGTAGAGCAGAGGGAGCTGGTACAAGCACACCACTGTTTTGTGTGTTCACTGTCCCTGCCCTGATTTCACCCAGAGCCTAGATTTCAGTCAAAGCATCTCTAAAACCATATCCACTGGGTACACCTTAGCATGGTATGCTGGCCTGAGAAGCAAAAAAAACTTGAGCTGTCCACTGAATAAAAACAGAGTTAACACCAGAATTAGTAACAGCTCTAGAAAAGGAATAGTTCCCAGGAGTATTCTGTGGATCATCACCAGCCCAGGACCTCTTGTTCTCCTTCTACTTCCTACCCTGCATCACAGAAGAGGTGCCAAGATCCAGAATCAGTATTTCCACTGACAAAGCAGGACTGAGTGTTGCACATGATTTGCACCAGGCAAGCAGTAACCATCACCATGTGCTGGAGGGTCCTCAGGCCAGGGCATCCTGGTGGAGAACTGTGCTAACTTCGCTCTTTACTTCATCTATTTTTTTGCTTAGATCAGAATTTCAAGCTACATGTTCCAAATTGAGTGGATGCCTGGTAATGATAAATGCTTACAATCAAAGTAGAAGTTGCTTTGCAATCCTACTAGTGAAGTATCTGAGCTGTACCTCTACCTGTCAGCTGAGCTGAACAGTCCCAGGCCTAGAGCATGGTTGGCAGCCAGCATTTTGCTTTTCCTACTCCTGAAGGCAAATCAAGCTCAGTCTGTCCCTGAGGCAAGGGGTGCTGAGACCCTTTCAAGAACGACTTTTAGCAGTCCCAACTACCTGACAGCAATCATTCAAAACCATCACACAAGAAAACTGGCCACCTTGCTAGGATGCATAGGGTGCTCACCCTGACTGCCTGAGGCTGGCTTACTTTAGAGCTGGCCCGAGGTAGTGCTCAATAGGAGCAGCAGTGATGTTGTTCTGGTGTCTCCTCAACTGCCTCTAATCAGAAATGGCAATTATCTTTTATGGTGAGGAGATAGCATTTATCTCTCCATCCAAACAGACCTGTTTTCACACCCATTTGAAGTGTTAACAAATGTCTGTCTAAAATCAGAACAGCATGTGTCCTGCCCATTTTTCAGAGAGACAGCAGCAGATCTGGTACAGGACAGACCTTCCTTCTTCCTAGGAAACTACTGCTTTCAAGCAGCTTCCCTCTTGTCCTGTCTTACCCTTCTGTGATGCTCTATGGTTATCTCACCATGCCAACTTGCTCCACCTTTGCTCCCAACCACCCTGCAGCCTTCGTCCTCCTTTCTTGCTTGGGACAACTGTGAATGGTGTTATGCGATTGATAATGCTCAGCCTAAAGGAGACTGAAAGTATCTCCTAAAGGGACAATTTTCAGGGGCCTGCCCAACAGTTTTGAACTAAATAGCCACATTTGGAAGCAGGCCAAACATCTGATCCAAATTTCACTAATGCAAGATTTTTACTGCCAATTTCTTCCAAAAATTAACTAGTTCTGAACTGCAAAACTGAAAAAAAGCACCTAGATTCAGCTAATTCTCTATAAGTATCTGGTCACCTGAGGAAGCTGAATTCAAATCTATGAAGAAGAACATGGTTATGTTTAGAACTTGCAAGGTAAGTTTTATTATGGAAATAAGTTTCTAGTCTATATTCTCTATAGCATATTTTAGTATCAGGCAGCTTCAGAGTGGTTGGAAAGAGCCAGAGACAACACTGCTACCCAGTCCCCAATATTGCCAACACCAGGGTGTTGTACAAGCCCAGATGTGAGTAACAGCCACTGGCTCAAGAAACCTCTAGTCCAAATAGACCCAGACATGAGTGATTTATCCTTGGCATGGTCCCTAAACCACGGGAAAATGGCTTTTCTAGTCTAACCAGCCACCAGTGTGTGCTCCTGCCTTTCCACCTCTGTGAAGCTTGATGCTTGGAGGGCCCTGGCCCCACAGCACCCACAGCCTGGGTTACCTGTGCCAGGAGTTCTACCCAAGGTGTCAGGACAGGTCACCAGAGAGGCCATCACAGAGCACAGCACCCCTGAGCTGCTGCCTGGACCACCAAGCCTCTCACTGTACCTGCTGGGGTCCGAGGTCCCTTGGTTTGTCTGAGCACAGTAACCGGCTGCCAGTTCAATTCTGCAGCTGCTGCAGGGAGCACTCAGCATTGCTCTCGCGTCGTAACCAAGCAATAGTTGTTCTCTGCAATAGTCACCACGTCCACCACAGAAGCAGGATAAATATAAAGGGGGAACGCCAATGGCTCCCTTCTGCCCCGCCCCACACAACCATGTTTCAAGAATTTTCGCACACCCGGTGCACGTGTGGGGAAGGCCCCCTTTTGCAGGGACATGTAGTGGGACACAGTCAGGAGGCACCTGCGAGCCCCAGCCCCCAGTGTTGCCCCACGGCCCCCAGCACCCTCTATGCCCCCCACAGCTAAGCTGGCCAGATGCTGATCCCAGGCTGCCAAAGAGCAGCGGGTGCATAGAGGTGAACCTGGTCCCCCCACCCCAAATCCCTGCAGGGGAGCAGCCTCCAGAGAGGGCCCTGGACACAAGTGGGTGTGTATGTGGTGTGTGTGCAGACAGACACAGGCAATACACCACCTCACCCCAAATCCCTCTAGGGAGCAGGATGATCCGGGTGGTGCAAAGCCCAGTGCTTCACCCCCAGGCTGCTCCCGCCTGCCCCAACCTGCAGGAGGGATGGGCACCCCCTGCCCTCCCCAGGGATACTTACTCCTCGTGTCCTTTGCAGAGGAAGAAGAGGGTCCTCCAGGCCTGCACTGTGGCCAGCAGCAGGGAGAGGAGCCCGGTGAAGATGCTGAAGCGGCAGGCGGCCTCAGGCCCCCACTCCTGCACGGTGAAGCGCTGTCTCTCCACCGTCAGGTTGGCATTGAGCCACATGCCCTCGGTGAAGAGCAGGCACCGGCCATGGAAGTCATTGCCGTTCTCCGAGAGCGGTACCACCACAATGAAGCTGAAGAGGAAGGCCAGGAAGTAACAGATGCACTGAGCAAAGAGGAAATTGCTGAGCGCCATGTCCGCGGCTCTGCGCAGGCAGAGGGAGGGAAGGAGGGAGGGATGGAGGGAGGGATGCAGGAGGGAGGGATGCGGGAGGGAGGGATGCGGGAGGGAGGGATGCGGGGCAGGAGGCGGGGGAGGATGGGGGGATGAAGGGAGGAAGCCTGCAGCAGTAGGGGGTGGGGAGGGAGGATGCGCAGTGCAATGCAATGCAATGCAATGTCTCCTCCGGGCACAGCAGCTGCCTATCCCGTGGCCAGAGCTGCCCCTACCGATGGCTTTCAGGGCTTGTGGGAGGGAATGGAGGGGAAGAGTTGTTGCAGGGGATCCCCCTTCTTCAGGAAAACCTGGCCGCTAATACACCCTGGTGCGCAGGGGGTTAAATCAGTCCCTGCCTCCCCAGCAGGGCTGGGTACCACCAGTTCTCAGTGGGGTATCCCCCGATGACATAGGACACTGATGTCACCGATGTTCAAGGCTATGACACGCCCCCCCTCCGCCACAGAAAAAAAAAAAAAAAAAAAAAACAACAACAAAACCAAACAAACAACAACAACAAAAAACACAAACAAAACCAAAAACAAAACAAAAAAACCCACTAAACTGTTTCATCCTGGCTGCTGGATTCCAGTAACTTTTGGCCCTAGTTTCTAAAAATCTGGCCACCAACCTCAGATGGTAGTAATAAGGTCCAGGGTGCACAGCCATCCCGGGACCTGTAGACCAAGTGGTTTTTTTCCTAGCCCAGCTGGTCACCCCCACAACAAGACATTGCAAGTATCAGCAAGATCTCACCAGAAGTGGAATAACTTTTGTTGAGCCTAGGTGTCAGTTAGGGGCTGCCCAGGATTGGGATCACCTGCATTTTCCCCTGGCTGGCAGATGAAGTAGGGATGAAAGAAAATAACCCTAAGATCCAGCTGAACACCAAGCTGTGAACGGAGCAGCACAGAGATGATCTGTGCATGGCAGGGACAAGTGCCGTTGATTCCCAGGGGTGAGCTCTACACCCTGCTCTGCACTTCCAAGGACCAGCCCCTTGTCCTGCACCACACTCAGAAAGACATCAGAGCATCCCCTCAGCTGTAAGGCCCAAAACTGCATGGCCAGAACACAAGAAAGCAAAAGGCATCAGAGACAGGAATGTGTCTTGTGCTCAGTTTCTCCCTGGCGCAAAAATCCAAATTAAACTGACCCCAAGTTACAGCTTCCCTTCAATTCCAATTTCATTTTTCCATCTAAACATGAATCTTCTTTCCAACACAAGACACTGCAATTCATTTCCAGTTCCAGGTGAAGTAATTTCCTAATCCAATTTCCTAGCCATATCCAGTCTGAGATCAACTGCAGGTCTCAGATCACTTCTTAATCCCAGGGCTCTTTCTGCTCGTTTTAGGCACTGTGTCGCGTCCCAGATAGTGTTTAAGGGAGCAGATGAGGGACTGGGACCCTGAACCCTGAATATACTGCACATGAAATTTCAAGCTTGTGTTTCTGTTGGACAACAAAACAGTTTTTTCTAGGCTGTTAAGAGGTTACAGATACAATCCTGAGGCAGACGCTGGGGGGATTCTCAGAGAAGACATTAATTTAGATTCATTGTAAATCATTTGTAATGCATATTATCTTGAGATCTTGTTCTATCCATACAAAGAAAGTATTTTTTGTGCAGATCCTACTTCTTGAATTAAAGCTTTCGTCAGTATATATGAAATTTGTCAGTCCATTTTTTTTGATCCTAACCCATCTCTGGTCATCAACAATTGTATTTCAGTTTTGCAAGATGAGTTATAGAGCACTGACCTAACCCTGTAGGGATAGACATGCATTCCTAACAGAAAAGATTTTGCTGATATTTCACTCTGGTCATAAGGAAGAAAGTTTATTGTTCTTAACCTTGCTTCCAAGAAGTGCTAGATTCCCAGAGGGTTTTGTCCTTTATCTGAAAGGAAATCAGACCTGGGTTGAGCTGGAAAACTCTCTTCTTTGAAACTCAGCACATCAGATTTGCCAGATAATGTTTTCTGAATTTAACTTGGGAGGTCAACACCAACATAAAAGTTCAGTTATTTCTTACACTGGACCCACAGAAGGGGCCAGCAGATGCCAAAGGCGCTTTGCCTCGGGCAAGCCCATTGCTCAGATCTTACCACCAGCAACCACAAGGCTCTGTTGCAGGAGGGTTATTGCAGAGGTGAAATGTGAGGGTCACTTGTAGAGCATATCAAGTTGTCTTTGCTGATGAACAAACTCAAGTGAGCATTTATCAGAGTTTCAGAATATACAGTCAGGCATTTGCAAATGTTAACAGACGTAAAACAGTTGCACATAGGACACTGACAGCTACTGAAGCGTGATACTTGGTCAAATGGAGAGACCACACACTCTAGGGAGCAAAGAGGTAGAGCCATCACTCATTTGGCAGCTGCCTGTATTTCTCATACTTCCCTCTCATGTAAATCCTAAAAAAAAAAAAAAAAAAAAAAAAAAAAATTACACTAGGCTGGAATTTGGCCCCTGAAATATACAGCTGGTTTAGTGAAGTAAATTTGATGATGTTTTACAAAGAAGACTTAAATAGGCTTACTTTTCTTAACATAGTGAAACTGGAGGAGAAAGGCAAGGTGAATGATTATTTCTTTCTCATATCACAGGGAATGGAGAACATCAAATATACAGGTCACGCAGAAATTTTAAAACAGAGGAGAAGTCACACATATCTCATACAGCACATAATTATTCTGTGGCACTCACCACAGGACACTGCAGAGGCCAAAAGTAAATGCCAGTTCAGAATAGATTAGGGGAAAAAAGCACAACAAGGGCTGCTAAACACAGAGCTGGGGAAGAAGCCTTCTGCTCAGGAAATCCCTGAACCGCAGGTTGCTGGGAGGGTAGAGCCACAAAATGGTCACTCTGCATTTGCCAGAATCCTCCATTCTCCCCTAAACCAAGCTTCTGCTACTGGCTGTCCTTGGAGATGAGATCCCTGGTGAGATGATCCTTTGGTCTGACCCACCACCTCCATTTCAAGTTCCCATTACAACCACTGACAGTACTAGCTTGCTGTCTCAGTTTTCCCATCCAAGCAGGGAGAGCTGTTCCTCCAAAGCATCCCCCCATGCCTTGGCTTCTCTAAATGTCTTTAGGAGAGGGTTACCACTGGAGCAGACGTACGGTCAGCATTTGGTCCCTCTTGCACTGTGGAGGAAGTACTGTGTAGTGCTTCCAATTGCCCGGCACAGAGAAAAGAGACGGATGAGTGATGAGAGGAGGCTGCACATTGCCCCAGCTTTGGTGGTGTCATCACAAGGAGCGCAGTTCAGATGCCTTCCTACTGCAGCCCCACCACGACCAACATCTTGAACATGACATCCCAGACCTCCTGCCTGCAGCTCAGAGGGTGCTTGCCTGTTCCACAGCACCCACCCAGGTTTTCTGCACCGGAATTGAACTCCCATCTCCTGCAGGGAAGAAACCCCGAGGGAGCCATGTGCTGACATGAGATTGGAGATGGCCTGCGCAGCATCAGGGAGGGTGAAATCAAAAGTTTATGAAGTCTAGTTCTCTGAAAAAAAAAAAAAACAAACAAACAAACAAACAAAAAAAAAAAAAAAAAAAAAAAACACTAAAGTAAATCAGGCTGCAAAACCAACTGCCATCGCACCTCAGTGATAACCAGAAAACCAACCTGGATAAATCAAGATCAGATGTACCGTATTCGCCTGTATTCCCTTCAGCCCCATATCTTCTTCTAGCTGCCTGGCTAATACTCTGTAGATCAGGTAACACTGTATGAGCTGGACTGACGTGGAATGACTGATGGGGACTGTGGTTTTGACTGTGCTGCTCCATGCTACCTCTCAAGTCATTAATTATGCCATCTGACATGAGCAGTGCTCTCAAGTTGATATTTGTGAGGTAAGTGATGAATTTCCTCTCCTCCTGATAGCTCATTAGGACATGTTTTATTATGGGAAAATTTGCTGAGGAATTAATTATTCAGGCAAAAACATTTTTGTGAGCAACTTTATTTATTTTTATATATATTTTTACCTTAGATATATCATTTCTGCGGTCCAAGAAAAATAATGGCTACATGTGTAGAAGGTGGCTACCATCTTTATACCAGTAATGTGCTGTTTATTTCTGGAGAGGAGGCACAGGGTCACCACAGTATCTCTGCAGAAGGATGCCCAGAGAACAATATGTTTGTATTCTAGGCAGAGAAAACCAGTCTGAATGACTGCTTTTGAGCCAGACCCTCAGTCACCCAAAGGCAACTTCTCCCTGATTTACTTGAGTTCAAACGGCTGCCTCAGCCCATTTTACCAAATGGTTTAGCAAATGCAGTTTGCCTCAGGCTCTGGAGTCTGTTTTATTCAGACTCTCCAGTCTGTTTTATTATTATATTAATCCATTATTATTATTCCACAAGTCTTGACCTGTGGTATTTGTTCTCTGAAACTTATAGAAAAGATCCAGGCATCCCACATATTATCTTATGATAGTTACTGCAAATACCACTTTTGGGGAGAGGTTTCTCATGGTAATCACTACCTTTAAGAAGGTGTCTGCCACTAGTTCAGAGGGATTATAGACAAAGTACCTAACTGTCAGCCACCTGTCACATCTGCATCTCTTCACCGCTACCACTGAGTCATGAATCTCTCAGGGCATCTCATCTAGGAACATCTTGACATTTTGCCTTTTTTTTTTTTTGGTGCAAGCATTTTTTTTTAGAGTATCTCCATATTGCTAGGAAAGCTGTCTTGTCTGAGAGGAGGTTATGGATGGAGAATGTGCCACCCTGACAGACAATAATGCAGCGGTTATCCGGAAGAGACTGAATGTCATTAATGTCTCTAGATAGAATAACCTCTGTATTTTGATACCCAAAGGAAAACAAATATATTCAAGCCTATTCACATTCTGAACTGAACAAGGACATGTTGTGGATAAAATATTAATTAAAAAAAAAAAAAAAAAAAAGATGCTTGAGCTTTTCAAAGCATTATTAACCCTAATCTCTGAGTGACTAATGCATGTCAGACTCCACACAGCACCTTGCAGCCTGTGAGAGCTGTAACATTTGACAGGGGCATTGTCCCAAAATGGCACATTATTTGCTCACCTGTTCTCTTTTAAGGAGGTCAGAGGTAATGATAAAGGTAGGACAAACTCTAGCA